TAAAATTTAAAAATGTTTCCTGGACAGATTTCTATACATATTTCTTTTAAATGTAAGCTGTAAATGAATCTCTGTTTAGTAGAAAACAAATGGTAAGAACTGTCACTAGAGTACAATGGGGGCCTCAAACTTTCCGAGACTCTGTGCTCAGTTATAATATTAAGTATTACTAGCAGTAAGGGCTGGGGGGAGGGGGGAATTACTCTGAGTGTCTTAATACTGCAATCAATACAATTAATATCCTCAGAGAATAATGGAAAGTCTATAAAGAAAAATCCAAATTAAAAAAATTGAAAGTAGCAGTACATTTCTTTATATAATTCATGTTTTGAATACCCTCAAGTGGCTTTTTAATTAGTCTATTTTTATTGTCAACTGAATGTCCCAGACTTGTGAGTTACTGAATCTTCACAGTTTTAGTGTTCCTTTTGGAGAAGTTTCCTACCATTTTATGGCTGTTTTCCCCCTAAAAATTCACTCAACCTTGATAAAATTGCATTTTAATATGTGCAGTATCTTGAAAATAATTCAAGGATAGCTATTCAGTCATAAAATCCTAACTCAGTTATGCATGTGTATGTATACTGTATTATCTTTCATTTCCTTTATAATGTATTTAATCACAAATTAATACTACCACTATAGAGCTGACATGTAGCCTGGCAGAGGTGGTATACCATGACAATGGAACTAGATTGGGCACAAAACACTATTAATCTCCTCATAAATTTAATCTTCATGATTCATGTTTAATTGTACCCAGATATGAACAAATTTACCTCAAAAAAAGGCAAATAATCTTGCTAAGAATTTAAAGGTCAAACACTATGCAGTGGGACACTGAGCCAAATTTGATTTCACTTTATGTCAGAAACAAATGCATTGACAGTGACTCAGTTCTGGCTACATACTCTGTGACTAATCTTAGGCCACCATAAATAAGAAGCTGACAACAGCTATTAAACTGTTTCCATTCCCATCCATGAATCTCCAGTTCCTAGTATCCAGTCACCAGAAAACAATTCATGCAAACACACAGTTAAGGAAATGTCCTAATAATAACTAATTTGTTGTAAATATGACTAAGCAACAACAAAACTAGAAAGGGTCTGTGCAGCTTATGTGACAAAAAATACATGTATTGCAGTATAAATCCTTCACTTAGGAAAACTCCAGTGATAAGACACATAAGACACATGTTGTTACAAACTAAAGACTGGTGTAGTTTTTTTTCCTTGCTAGTACAGCTCTTTATAACATAGACCACAAGAGACTGCTAGTCTTGTTCTCAAGCCCAGGCTTAACCCACAGCTTTCTCAGTCTTTCCTCAAGCACTAATTAATAGCCAACACCACATTTTGTATAAATCCCAACCATTACCTTTCTCAGGTGCCAGGTTTCTTTAACAATACTGGAAGCCTTTTCCTTATCCTCCAAGACATAAACCACAGGGCAAACCTCCTGTTCTCTCTACCACAGGGTAACAACCCTCTTATAAGACTAACTTCAAGTCCGAACACCATTCCTAGGTTCAGTCTTGCTCAAGCTCTGAGTTGGCTGTTCAGCAGCCCCAATTTAAAAGAAAGGTCTGAGGGTTATGACTGTATTTAAGAAGTGTACTGAAGTGCATTAACATGTGTCCACATTCAGCACAGCAGCTAAGCTCACTACATTACTTCCAGCCAAGTGTCAGATAGGAGTATGCTCACATCTAATATTTAAACAATACCTTTTCAAAAGTGGACTTTGCACCCTGCTGACAAACAGCAGTTTCTGAGCAAACAAGAGAATAGATGACCCAGGTAGAAGTCTTAAATTGCCAAGGAGCTGGACAGAAGGCCACCAGCAGGGATCAGAAAATGGCAGCATTTTTAGGGAAGCTGTTGATGAAGAAGCCAATTTAGAGTGAACATTTTCATCAGAAATAGGTATGAGTGCCACCTCGTACTTCAAATAAGGGATGTGGTGAGGCTGCAATGGGATGGACTGTAGCATGAGGACAGGTGGCCATCAAAGTACATCCCTGGCTATTTTCACAATGTTGGCCACACTATGCTAGCAAGGGGCTGCCCTGCTTGTCCTTGTTTGGAGCTCAGCCATTTGGTCTGGAACCGAAGCAGTAGTAGTTCAGCTGACAACACAGACGTGATGTAGATTGATCCAGACATGCACATCCATAAGTCTAATTTTAAGAAGTGTGGAAATCAAAGCTCATAATGGGACACTAGGTCTTTGTGAACAGGAGGGATCCAAAGGAGGTGCATGCCACTCAGGAAGTTACCAACAAGAAGTCCAAGTGTAAGGGTAAGTCTGATCTCCTCCAAGTTCAGATGTCTGATTCGAGTCTGCATAGCAAAACTGCTTCCTTCCACTTGTCATCCAGAACATAAATCTTTTTGCTGACACAGACTCTGTATTTAGCATTTGACAGAACTGAGAAAACTTACTCTTTCAGTTGAAATATATGTGAGAATGAGTGCTGCAACTCACCTTTTAAATTTTTCAATAACTCAGTAATGAAATTATTACAAAACCTAGGTTTGGTTTCTAAGCATCAGGGGTAGAGTTGTGCTCCCCCATCCCACCTTGTTTCCTTATCCAGATATTCTAAACTAGAGACCTCCTCAACTCCACTGCATAAATTGGTGTCTCTGAAGAGAATACAAGAAAAAAAACTGTCGTGGTTTTGCCCAGCCAGCCAGCCCCTGGGGCTGAGTATGATTTTGTCCAGGTGGATTTTCAGACAAGAAGCCAATCAAAACTCTTAGTGACACCTTTGCTAATTACATATTTAAGAAAACGGAAGAGAAGGTTGTGGCGCAGTTGAACTTAGGTAGCCAGGTAGGAAAAGAGGCAGACCCCGAGTGGGCCAAGGCCCCCTCCTCCCCTGGCCTGGGCCGGGGGCAGGTGTGGCACTGAAGCCCCCCTTCTCTCATGTAAGAGAGTGAAGAAAAAAAAAAATTAGAGGACTGAATGCTTGGATGAAGAACCACTGCAGAAGAATTACTGGCAAAGAGATAAGGGACCTCCAAGGTCAAAGCTGGCAGCTGCAGGAGAGAGAAGAAAAGTTTGAAGGAGAGGGGTTGTTTCTCCCCCTTTTCACTCTCTCCCTTCAGCAGGGAAAAGACTGAAAAATAATCTCTGTCACCTGTAGAAGTTTGTTGGGGTGAGGAGACCCTCATGCGGCTCACAGAGGAGCTTGTGGATGTACAAGGAAGCCGAGACTTCATGAGAAGGACTGAAATGAAGCAAAGTCTTGTTGAAGATTTATAACCCTAAAAGGAACGAGGCTTATGCTGGAGCAAGAACAGCTCAGGTAAGCTTGGGATCTCAGTGAGAGATCCATGCTGCTGGTGCTGGAGATTTGTAACCCTGAGAGAACCTTCACTGGAGCAAGAACGGCTCAGGTAGGGATGTTTGATCCATGTGTGGGATCCATGCTGCTGCTGAAGATTTATGACCCTGAGAGAGAAACTTACGCTGGAGTGAGAACGGCTCGGGTAAGCTTGGGATCCAAGTGAGGGATCCATGCTAGACCCCTCACTAGGAGATGTCTATCAAGGACTGTTCTCCCGTGGGGAGGGACCTCCACAGGAAAACAGGGGTGGACTCATAAGCCATTATCCCCTGTAACCCTGTGGAAGAAGATCCATGGTAAGCAAGTGTCTCCTTGCAAGCCCATGGAAGAAAAAACCTTCACGGCCTGGGTAACCCCCCAGCCTCCAGTCTTAGCCCCAAGAGGGGGGTAGGCCCAGCCCTGGAGGCCAACACAGAGCAAGAGAGAAAGAGAAAGAGAGCAACGAGAGTGCTGCAGAGTTATTGAAGAGACCTGGAGCTCCGAGAATGGAGAAAGAAACTGCTTCTCCTCCTTGAACTGATATTAAGGGGGGAGAAGTATTTCTGTAAATACATAGTACTTTTTACTTAAGTAGAACTGTTGTAGATATAGTTCTTTAGTTTTATCTTGCTAGTAATAAATGTTCATATTATTTTCCCAAATCCAGTTTCTTTTGTCTGCATAAACCTTCTCTCAACTAATAGTAATTGGGGGGGGGGGGGAGAACAAATTGACCTAGAGCAAAACCACAACAGAAACTAAATACAGTAATTGCTCCTGTAATTCAGTAGAAAGGTGGAGTCTTTTCTGGATCTTGCTTGTAGAACATAATTTTTAATTTTTATATTAAACTATCAACAAAGAAGGAAAAAAAATGATAAATAGTCCCAAGAGTAGAAATCACCCCTGACTGGGAAGAGAGCTGAAACAGGCCTTTGCTTCCTGCACTGAGAGTTGGGCTCCTCGTCACTTCCAATTTAGAAGGTAGGTATGTAGATATTTACACAGAACTAACACTGCATTCTGATCAGAAATTCATCCCCATGCCAAATGAAAGCACAGCCAAGATTAGGTGAAGTGTGAAGTGCGTGTGTATAAAGGAAGACAGACTTTGGGTAACAATTTTTCACTTCAATGCCAAAAAGCCTGCCTATGTTCTTCTTTGGATTTAGCTCACAATTTTCTTTCTTGTTAAAAAAATTCTATCCATCAAGAGTAATGACAAAGTCTGCTTGTAGAACCTAAATTCTTCCCAACTGCACAAATTGTGAACATCTTTATTTTCAATTAAGTCACAGTACTAGCAGCTAGTAAAAGCAAAACACAAATTTTGCTCCCAAAAACTTTTTCGGACTTTCAGTCTCAAATATGCTAAAGGTAGATATTATAAGGAAAAAAATAATAGGTGATCATAAATTAATAAAATAACCCTTCAAACTCACACAGAATAAAGTGCTTTTTGAAATGGCAATTAACTCTCATCACCAAGTTTATTCTAAAACAGGAGAAAGGGGAAGTCCTGTTTTTCTTCATTCACTATTAGTAAGACATTTAAATAACAGAAGGATTTAATTGCCTGTATTGAAACTTATTTCAGGTCTGCTTGTTTCATAGTCATCATTTCAATTGAGCAAAAAAATTAACTTGAATAATTTTTTTTTACCTTTTTCTGGAAGGGTACTGGTATTGCATATCTGTTCTTCACCATCACCAGCAGACGTCACAGCTTTTATTTTAATTTGATAAGTCATATTGGAAAGCAGATTTCTAAAAGTATGCAGTGTATCATAAGATGAAAAATTCGTAGAATTTCCTTCAACTGTAATGATGTAATGCGTAATTATACCATTGGATGAAGCAGGAGGGTCCCATTGCACTAGGATTGATTGCCAGCTCATTGCAATACAATGAACATTCTGGACAGCACCTGGAACTTAAAAGATACACATAGACCAAAGATTAACATTGACACACAATTAAAGTGTTAATCACAGAATAGTATCATTACAGAAGCAGACCCAGTGTTCATAGGAACAGTGAAACGTTGCAGTGTCAGATGAATCAATAAAAGAAATACATGGAGAGAACAAAAATATGTCTTTGTCCCATTAAATGGTTAATTTCCAACTACTATGAATGTGATTGATGATAGCACTTGAAGCAGAAGAAGCCACCTATCTGGCTTTTCCCTAACTGTGTGATCCAATTTTGTTTTCACATCTGCCCATATTCTCCACATCTTTTTTTAAACAAACTGTAGTAAAACATACACAGTAGTGTGAAATCTATATATGTACTCCACAACAGCATCAACAGCAGAAGTTCCTTATTTATCTGTTAGCTTTGTTTCTTTTAGGCACTTTATCACACCTCTCTGTCCTTCCAGCAGAGGTACAACCTGCATGGAAGTCATGAGGCAGGTTTCAGAGCTATCATATCAATGTTACTATCTTACAGTTCCCAATTCATTTGCTGGTGAGAAAGTTTTTTAAATGTTTATAAAAAAATTAATTAAATGTAGCAAATATAATAATCATGTTGAAAATAGAGCAATTATGTGTGAACAATTGGTTAAATGGGAATATGAATTAAAGTATTTCTGAAAGGGCTAAATTACTGGCTGTACCATATAAGAGAAAATGAATACACAGTAAGGGGTGGCCTAACCTGCTCCCTCTTCCAGGAATCCATACAACAGTAAAAAGACTCTCAGTGATATAGCAGAAATAGAGGGAAACATATTCGTTATCACTACACAGAGGTAAATAAATCTCTTTAAAAAGATTAATTTTCTTTTCAGAATTTAAAGAAAAAATTTCTTTTTAAAAAGCAACATCTGCAGAACAAGGAAGATTAACTGGTACTTTTAACAAAGACTAGGGACAGAATCCTTAGAGGGACTCAGCGAGGAACTGATCCAGCAATTGCCCAAAATCTGTGTTGGAGGGAAAGGAAACATGCTGCAACTACCTCAGCATAAAATCTGAGAAAAAGTTATAATATTACTAGATCATGCTCCTGAGAGAAATGTCTCTCCAGCACTTCCGAAGAAAGTACTGTGAGTGTGGAATGTTTGTGGTGAAATGAGACAACTGAACGATGACCACGGCTTTTTAGCAGGACAGCCTTCAGCTGCAGGGATCCAACTGCCAAACTGAACCCATTTAGTGATAGTCCAGATTTCTGATGGTGTGTGAGTCCTGAGTACAATAAACAGCATAATTTTCCCCAGAAACTCTGTTTTACCAGTTCCAGCAGGAATCTCTCACTGGAAATGTGATCTTGGAAAAACAATAGTAATATGGAATCTTTTGATACTTTTTCTGCTCCCTTTGCTGACAGTATAAAGAAAGATGGGGGTCCCCTGACCCGTGGCCATTCCCTGGCTCTGATAGCCCTTATAAAGCTCAGGAGCCTGGAGATTGCTCTGGCCTGGCAAAGGAGCTCTAGTTTTGTGCAATGGCAAGTTTCACTAACCCACAGTTCTCACGGGCTCTTCTTTAGTGAATACTGAGTATTTCACTTTTAGGTGCTAGCTTCCTTCCTAAATGAAATTATTTTAAAAATGTTAAAAATTTCTATTTGTTTAATACAGTTTCCAGTTCATTTGCCAATATTTTGACCAGCTGCTTTTGATACTGCTAGCATTTCAGTTATTTTCACAGGGATCTGAATTATCGCTTTGATCTGCAAAGACTGATATCTATCTAATTTTCCTCCCTTTATCTGTGATACTATTAAAATATTTATAGTAGCCATATAAGCCTCTCATTTCAGATGAGGACATTTCTAATTCTACACTTCCGACATCAAACTTCAAACCCAGCCTACAACAGGAATGTGAATAGATGTTACACAGGCAGAAGGCAATGAGATAGTGTTGCATTAGGTTTTCTTTGGAGAGAAAATGAAGTCAGTTGTTCAGCCATACAAGGAAAATATACATAAACATATATAAACAGAACTGCAGCTTAAAAAAAGTTATGTCTAACCTGATTCCATTGTTGTAAACTGGACAGCATTACTGAACTGATTGCCATTCCCAAGCTTGGTAAATGCAGATATACTGATAGAATAGGAGTTGAATGGTTCTAATCCAACAAGGTTTGCTTCATGGTTTGAACCTGAAATATTCTTAAGGAAGTAAAAATTACCAGTACACATTGTGAGCCTCACTTGGAACCTACTGAAATGAACAGAAGATTTACAGCCACAGTTTTGCCTTTCCTACTCTGCATAGATTTCAGTCAAATACTGAAAACTTTTGCCAGCTCCACACCACCTCATCAATTCCTCTCACCTACTTCCTTGCTACACCTCTGCAGTGGAAGTTGTCGTGGGTCATAGCTTCTTATTTCTTTTACTTTACCTGAACTAGATACACAGATTGACGAAAAGCTTAAAAAAAACCCCAAACCAAAACAAAACCAAAAAAGTAAAACAAAACCAAACCAAACCAAAACAAAAGTTAAAAACCACAGTTCAATTCCTTTTAGCTGCTTTTCCTGGAGCATGCAAGCCACACTTCATTCAAGTGTTGAGATGACTATAACAAAAGCACTGAAAGAGCAGAATTTCAGTAAGAAAATCTTGTGGAATCCAAGTTATCAAGGAATTATGGTGCCTAAATACAGTATTTCTATAAAAATTGCTCTGCCTGTCTTGCTGCCACAACCTAAATCTCATTTCTTGCTCATATAACAGTACAAAACATAAAGAAATGTAGGGCATAGCAGATGCATTCAAGTGCTTCAGATAGTTTTTTTTATTCTTATTGGATTTGAGACTGCCTCAGATAGACAATAATTTTTCATAGAGAATAATCTTTAGTGGTCTCTATGAACACCCAAAGAATGTGTTTCCAAAGGTAGCTGGCTGTAGAATTCAAAAGTTCCTCTATCATAGGTGCATTATGCTCTTTCAAATGTTATAGAGGAAACTAGGGTGATGCCAGCACTTCATTCCACAGTGGGGAATAACAGCACACCTCATAAGGGGTAGCCAAATAGGCCACTCCATGGGGACTGATTTCCAGAGCACACACTTAACAACAGCACACAGTTTCATTTCATGCTGTCTTTGTAATAAGAACTGTATTGGTGAGGGAGTTGGGGTAATGAAGCTCTTCACAGTCACTCATGTAACTTAAAACGTGCATCTTAAACTGCTATCTCACTGCAGTAATATCTTTTCCCTGCAGCTTTTACAAGCATCTAGGATGAACAGGACTCACTATACAGTTTCTATGATTGAGATGCAATCTTGACCTCAGCTTGCTGCCTTTGCAGTTCGTGGTGCATGTCTTGATGTCACCCAATCAACCAGATTTAAGCAGATAGAAATGTCTTGTTCAAATTTTGTATATCATAGACTCATAGAGTCATAGAATGGTTTGGGTTGGAAGGGACCTTAAAGACCGTCCAGTTCCAAACTCAGTGCTGTGAGCTGGAAACCTTCCACTACACCAGATTAATCAGAGCCCCATTCAGTTTGGCCCTGAACATTCATATAGCAACTATTTCAGTTAAAATTTATTCAGTTATTCCTATTCTGCAAAAATTAAAAATAATTTGCAAACCTCTAAACAGTTTTTTAACTATTTTTCAAGATGACTAGGAATTTGCATTTTGAATCCTGACAGTCCATAGATACTAAATAGCTAAACAAAGATAGCCACAAAACAAGTAAATTCTGTCGGTTTCTAACATCAAGCTTACACTGAAATATGAAGTAAATATTCATAAATCTCACCATTAATGAACCATTACAAGCTCAAACACAATTACGGTGGTAGGGTAAGTAAACTGTCTTAGTAAACAGGAATTTAGAGGAGCTTCATAATTCTAGGAGCATAACAAGACATTTAAAATATTTGTCATGTATTTTGTTCCTAAAGCACGAAATAAATATTTTAAAAAATTAAACACTTTTTTATAAACATACCCGATAAAACAGTTTTTCTGTGCTGTTTTGATAAATCTTAAAATTATATATCATAATAACACCATTTGACTGGGGACTTGGATCCCATTTTAGCCACACGGAATCTGCAGTATAGTTGATAATGGTCAAATTCTGGGGTGGAGCTAATGGCACTAAAAAGAGAAATACTTTTGAGTTCCAAATGACAAAGCAATCCAGGCAAAACAAAACACTTTAGAGATGCAGGAGAACATAAATATTTTTGTTAACATTTTTATATGAACTCAAGCTAACAGTACTTCATTGCTGTTTCAATCTTTTTCTTTCTCTTTGACATGCAACAAATTCCATTAATCCAGAATACATGCTTAATCAGCAAAGGATCTTAGAGATCTAAAAAAATCTATTAATCATTTAAACATCCCCATTGTCAGAACTAAGACATTTAACAAAAGTCATATTACATGTATTACTGGAATGTGATATCCTTTGCTTCCTACATCAAGTGTTGAGCCCAACTCAACATATATTTACAAGCTACATAATTTACCATGCAGAGGAGGGGAGATCAATATATAGGAGACCTGTGTGAATGTGTCAGAAACATTTCCATGTTTTATCATTATTCAGTTATATGGGGGCATGAAGAGAAGGGTACTGTTCCTTGCTTCAAAATGCCTGACACATGGCAAACCATAACACATTCCAAAATCAAAATATATTTCTTCTTGGAGTTATTTTTGTAATCCTATGCAAAATGTGACTTCTTCTTGCGTACTGTGACAGGAGAAAGAGCACTAAGAAAACACTTCCTTTGCAGTGTTTCCTTCTTCTGAAAGCTCTTCACTCACAGACAAAGGAAAATTAATCCTTCATCTCAGCAGGTCTGATGCTCAGACCTAAGATGGATGCAGTAACATAGGGCTGGTATTTCAAAGTCGGTTACAATTGAATTTGCTCACCTGACTCATCTGTGTAGAACTGAAGCACAGCAGATGGACCAGGTCCTTTTATTGTTCTTGCGGCTGCATAAATGCTGTACAGGGTGAATGGCAGAAGGTCTTCCAAGACGATAAAGTTATTGGTGGTAGAGAATGAACTATTCCTTTCTGGTCCAAATAAATTTAAATCATAACTTATTATGATACCATTTGGCTTAACAGGAGGGTCCCATGAAAACATAACTGAGGTAGTGGAGAGATTTGAAAATGTTTTGATTATAGGTGCTGATTCTGGGACTACATGAAGAAATAAGAAAGAGAAAAACAGGGATAACCTCAGGAAAATATAAGCTACAATGAAAAATTCTATTTCATGGTATCAAAATAGAAATGTGTAGCAGTTGTTTATGTCATTGTATAACAAAAAACCTTCAAGTTAACATGACAAAAATAAACAATATTTTTGTTTCCTTTTAGAAAACTGTTTGAGTTTTTTACTACATTTCCTTAGGAATTAATAAAATATCTTTATCTTACCATCTTCATCTGTTCTTATATGCAGACTTAGAGCATGCTGTTCAGAAGATCCTTTATCAGTGGCTGGTGTGATTTTCAGAATGTAATCAGTATATTTCTCCAGATTGTCAAAAATTATGCTTGTGTTGTAAGTAAGGAAAGACAAAATCTTACTGGTTCCTAGTTGCATTAAATTTAGACAAATGTGAAAGAAGACTAAGCCATTTGGCTGGGATGGTGGAAGCCAGCTTACATTCACAGAAGATGAGGAAATGTTTTGATAGACCAGATTTTCAACAAAACCTTCTGGGACTATGAGAGATAATAAACAAAAAATTAAATGCATGGATTACAGTAATGAAACATCCAAACCCAAACCAAAAATAACTCTTCAAATTACGATTAGTCTGAAAATGTCACATGTCACTTGTTATATTTTTACAACTTTTAAAAATAAGTTATGTTTCAATATCAAAAAAAATACTTTGGAGTCATATATGAATAATCATTTATGTTAAATTTGTTTAAGAAAAGTTTCTTAATGATGGTTTAAGACAATATTTTTATTGCTTGTGAACTACATTCTTAGTATTACAAAGACTCAGATCAAAATGCCTTCCTTGCAAAGAAAAATATTGCAGCATTGAAAACCACACTTACTGTTTTGTTTGGGATTTTTTACTTTGCCATCATAACAGCAAAATAATTTTCAAGTTAGAGAACATTTAATACATGTAAGCACTGATATACACTGAGCATTCAAAAAGTTATTGACTTACTATCCTGATCTGTATACACGTCTATTTTTTCACTGGTTTTGTTTCCATCTCCAAAAGCTGTGCTTGCAGTTAACCATAAAATATAATGGCTGTATTTTGCCAAGTCATCCAGAACTACAAACGGGGGCATACTGACATTGCTGTCATTACCATAAGTTGTGAAATTCTACAGGGAAAAAAAAAAGGATAATGTTGCCATTGAAAATGCTATTTATTCATTGATTTCTCTTTCTAGTTCCCCATTTAGCTGTCACCACCACCAGATACGATTTACCATAGTGTTCAAGATACATAAAGCTACCTTTTGACTCCTATTGTTACCCCTTGTAATTACACAGAGCATATAATTAACTCCTCCTGTTGTTTGTAGTTGCTGAATGACAATTTGCAGATTAAATTTGTAATATTGCAATGTGTTTATCCATGTTGCATCAAGAAAATGACAAAAAAGTACCATCCACTAATCGCTCAAATGACCACACATGTTACTGCCTTGCCTTATCATCATGAAGCAAAACAAGGGACTTCTCTCACTTTATTCTATTTTTATGAGAGCAGATTTTGAATTTAAAACTTCCAGCAGAGATCTCACTGCACTACTTGATAAACTGTTCCTTTTGTTAGTTGTGCCTTCCAGTAAAAACATGCCATTATCTCTAACGCAAATGTCTATACCTGGTGTACCATGTTAAACTGAAGACATCAACAGAAATGTTTTCCTTGTTTAGTTATTGCTAATGAAAGGATTGCACCAGAATCTAATCCCACTTTCCTTTGAATGATACTAAGATAATCACTAAAACTCTGACTGTATCAGTAAGTTAGTGCTTTAGATCAGCCCCTCTAAGGAAGATATTCCTGTTTAGAATCAACTCTTTTGGAAAATTAAAAGAAAAATTATAAATCAGATTATTTACATAAGGTCAGCTATACTACATAACTAATGTGTTAAGTCAACCACCTCATTATGCAAATCTAATTTAGATGATCCAACACAATTTGGTTCATGATTTGAAAATTGTTAAGAGATTATGCAACCCATGAGCATATTCACCTCCAGCACTGGGTAGGAAGTCAAATTTTTGCTCCTGATTCAGAGAGTCAGTATCCTCTGTGGCAGCCACATTGCCCCATTGAGCAGATGGCATGGACAGCACTCCTCAGGACCAAAGTCCTAATTTTTCTACATAGCAACATTTTCAGGGGAAGCTGCATTTTGTCCAACCCCCTGATGAATTGACTAGTACACATTCCAGTTATTTGGCCTGCTTCCTATTTTTGGTGTTCATCTTATCACCCCACCTCTTTAAAATCAAAGCTATCTTTCAATTAAACTCATTTCTAAAAAAGGGAGGCTGTGAGAGAAGACTTATTAAAGCAGGAAAAATGCAACAGTAATGTTTGAGTATTTAAATTCAGAAGAAACACCACGTAAGAACAGAGGCATGTGAAAACTGCATACTAAAAAATGGGTTGCAGTTCTCAGGAGGAAAATTCCTACTGAAGAAATCACTGCAATATGCTCTACCACACAGTTGAGTCAATACTGTGCAAACCATATCCAATGTTGATGTCTGTCATCAATGCGCATCAATTTATATCTCTAATGCAATACTTTGCTAATTTTTTGTACAGGCAAGATCATTTTACTTTTGCAGAGAACAACAATCTCAGAGAATTTTATGCTAATATCTGAAGACCTAGTTCTGCGTACAGCCACTAGTACTCTAGATAATATAAATAAGTAAATAGTTTGTTTGGCAATGAAAATTTAAACCTTTGTTTTGAATGTGGAACAGAAGCTGCATGAATTGGTGGTATAAATTTCTATGTCCACTCTTATTAATTGACTTAAAGCACCATGTTAGTTCTGTCTGAAAGATTAGGTTAAGTCAATATCAGTCAAAATACAAAAACATTCCACCTTAATATGTGACTTCTAAAAGTAATTTGAATCTCACACTATCATCATAACTAACTGAAAAGGCTGTGAAGAGCTTTGCATTACACTTGCATAGGTTAAGATACAGGAAACAGACAATAGAATTCTAAGGTATTTAATTAAACTCTATGATCCTTAAGCACAATATGACAGAAAATATCATCTAGCCCAGAAGAAGCATTCTAATACCATCCTGTTGTTATTATAATTAGATATTGTAATTAGAAATAATTAATAATTTATAATAACACTATCTAACAATCAGATTTTTTTTAATAGGGCCTTACATAATTATCTGAGGTTTCAAGATAAAAATGTCAAGGGTACCACATCAAGTTTTGATTCTAGATTTAATGGGAGTTTATTGATATGAACAGCTGAAAATTCAACTCTTAGTTTAAAAAGCATACCTTTACAATTTAGCCAGCTGTCTGGCAGTTAAGGACTCCGTGAACCAACGTGAACATTATAACAACAGGGTTTTGTTGGTTCAACAAAAACTATTTTAAGAGAGAGTCCCTTTACTATAAAGAGACCAAGGAAAGGGGATTATCTCAAACTTCTGATATGACAAAATATTAGGGAAAAAAAAAAAAGGAGCACATAATTAGGAGTAACAGTGAGCAGGAAGAACTGTGTGGGTACAAACTGAGAAAAGACAAAACTTTTACTAATTGTACCCTGGGGATAGAACACTATAGGAAGTTTTACAATTAACTGTGGCTGCAGATGAAAGCAAACAGCTTAGGATCTTTGGCTACAGCTGAAGAAATTCTTCCTTCAGTCCCTTTCTTCATCCATACATGAAAGAAGTTTTGACATAGCAAAGTATCAGATTATTAAAAGCAGCTAAGTGTAAGCAATACACACAGGCCATGAAAGTGTCAGCAGAAAGCAGTATATTCTTCAGGAAGCAGCAGATATTTCCAGTGGCATGAAGTTGTAATTAGTTGCACAAAGAAAACGCAGTGCTGCTGTTCTTCCCTGTTAACCTTTTCCCCCTTTTCTGTTTTCTTCTTTAGGTTCATTGTATTGCACTCTTGTTTTGAGTCAGAGGATCACATACTTGACTCTGGCAATCAGATAAGAGTGGTGACACTGTGTGGGCTAATCCAAGTCATCCTTCAAGGAGCATAATGCACACCGTTCCAGTAGCAACCTAAGTGAAGATGTTTCCTTTTTGTGTGCTGTACCATTCCGAGGCCATGTATTAAAAACTTGCAGAGTATTTTTGGGAAGTTCTGCTTTTTATCCCTATTGTGGTTGTAGTGGTGAAAGAAAATTTTGATTGTTAATGTAGCATATTGTTTGCATCCTGTTTTCTGCATCCCAAGGGTAATCCAAGTTGACGTTCACTCTGAACTGTATCCAGTCATGGTCACTTTGGTTGGCTCAAAGTACACATTGGATGATCTGGGGTCTGATGTCCAGTTGCTTAAAAGAGTTGTAAATTTTTTTCAGTAGTTTGATCCTGGTTCCCCTGGTAGAGTAGGACAGTTGTCATCTGTACTGAAATTCCTACACTGGGGATCTTTATCCAAGCATAAATTTGTATTTGTAATTAGCACCTTTCCCACTTTCTTGTTAATCAAAACACAAGTATGTAGAAATTGAATAGAAGAGTTTATTCAAGTCAAGGATATCTTTCATAGATCAATATTTAGCTAAGAGATGATTACTTCCATAGATTTTTTGACTTCTTTCCTCAATAAGACTGAGAATGTGGGCAGTATGATTGTTTCAAGCAGCAGGCAAGGTATCATGGAGCAAAACTTGCAAAGCTGCTATTGCAAACAGTGAAAGCTCAAACTGTAGGAATCCAGCAGTGTCACAGAGAAGTGATGTGAAGAAGAGGTACAGTGTCATGTTCATCTGTGTATGAAGTGTTCTTTGTCAGCACACGCTATATCTTTACTGAACTGGGACACAATAGCAAACATATATCAAAAAGTAGCATTTTCTCTAGACCTATGTAGCAGAAGATAAAAGATAAACATGAACTTGAACCTAGCCCTATGTATGTGATGGTCTCTTCTACTTGGCTATCAGTCATTCCTCCCTCTCTGACACTTTTTCTTTTGCAATCTACCAGTGTCCTCATAGAAATAGCCCACTCATCTACCCAAACCCTCAAATCTAATCTCCATCACTAAATATTTCCTTCTGCTGTTCTGGTTCTGAATCTTAGATCTGAGCATCCCTGGCCTTCTGGCTGGGCAGCTGCAGTGTGACTTTTCATGTAAACCTATAAAGCAAAGAAACTATACATTATTTTTCTGACCTATGAAGATATATAACGTTTTCCTATTTGAAGGAAAACTGGTTTTCCTGCAAGTTTCTGCATAATGTCAAGGAGTAAACCACATTTTTTAATCTCAGGTATTTTGCTATGTTTGTGGGGTTTTTCCCCTAAAAAAATGTTTCACTCTGCAGCTACTAACGTCCTGATTTTATCATATTAATACTCTGTGTTTTATATTAATTAAGTTTTAGTATGCCTGAGGAGTTTGAGAATGTGTGATAAGGGAGACTGAGACAACAGAAGAACACACCAGTTTTCATATGATTCTTGTAGCTACTTCAGATTATACCAGCATTGGTATATGTTAATTTGCTTGATATTCTTTGGCAAGGGTGGTTTTTTGGGCATCTAGAAGATATGGCTTGACTTGTACCTCTAACATTATGTCCTGACAAAGAAGCAGATTAAAGACTGGTAGAGATTGGCTGCCTACAACAGCACGTCTGAGAAGTTTGAGTTCCTTGAAATGTGAAAAGATTGTCTCCTTTTTCAATTGTCATGGATAATTTCTAAAACTCAAAATACAGTTTGGATAAACATAAGCAGAATGGTGACCTCCATGTAGAGTGTTCTAACTAAGAATTATTTTGCTTTCCAAATAAGTGCAATAAGAAACTTAGCAACAGACTTGCAAAGTCATGGTTATACTTTTAAGTTCCAGATAGTCATAAGCTGCATGTATGCATACACTTATGCAGCTCACAACTGTCTGTATCTGTCATACATATATATATGATCTATTTCTCTGTTGTAAAAAGAGTGATATAAAATATCTGACAGAAATGAGTTGCCTTTTTTCGTCTGTTTGAAATCTGTCCTGCATCCACAGGAATTCCAAGGTATAGAATAGAACTGCAATGTAGATATGGTAGTTGTCATGTGTAAACAGTGAACAGACAGGATGTGAAGTGCAGAAGAAGTTAAGGGAAGCAGAAGGATTAAGATTCAATCATGATTTGAGAGATTAATGGTCATATTCCATGGACAGTAAGAGACAGATGCAACAGCAGCTGAAATCTATCTTCTGGTGGCAGAGGCATAGGATAAAAAATCAAAGTTAAAAGGATGAAAAAGGTATTTTCCACACATAGAAGTAGAGCTACTGTCAGCACCTTTCTGCCATCCACTGTATAGTATGCCAGAGCAGTGGTAATTTCCACTGGTGCCACCATCTTTTCCCTGGCCAACTACATCACACGATTATGAAACTGGACCCTCACTTTGCTGGGCCAACACTATTGTTCTTCATCTTCCCTATCTTCCTCCTGTATTTCCAGAGTCTGGGGACCATCCAGAGGGATTTTAGCTCTCAGTGTATCAGTTTCACCTTACTCATTCACCTCAGAGTTCCACCTTCCTAAAGGCAAGACTAGTCCAAGTCCATATACTCCTCTGAAATCTCCTAAGATTTCCAAGAATTAGGTAAATGCAGAGATTCTTCACAGGATAGGGTAGTTCATGTAATGCACTGATGTAAAGGTTTCTCCAAAGATTTAAAAAAAAAAATGTTGTTGCTATCTCAGTGTGCACAAACTGAGTCTACCTTCTGAACCACACCCCTGATTTTAATCTCATCAGAATATGAATTCATGGCACAATCTTGCTTGCATATGAAACTATGCAAAGCCTGGCAACCACAGAGTTTCACAGAAGTCAGAGAAATGTAAACACTGAAGTATATCAGCAATTATTCAGTCACAGGTATTTGTAATATTTGTGAATATTTCTTCTAGTTATCCTCAAATACATGTATACCTCATCCTGGACACATCTTGAGCATAAAGTTATGCAGTAGAGGTTATTTTTCATGTAAAAGTTTCTTAATCAATTTATATTTTTTTTATTTTCTTTCATATGTGTAAAACTTGTGACCAAAACCCTGTAAAGGAAGCTTATTTGTCTTATTATGTTTTTGTACCATAATATATTCATAGAAGGGAGAATAGAAAAACTATATATACAATTAGTAAGTGTGGTGCATAAATAAGAATGAAAGTAAACAGAACAAAAAATCTTTCACGGAAATGTGTGGATCACCAAAACATTATTTATAATATTTTCTCTTTTAAGCTTTAACTTAAAAATCTCAATATCTTTGAGATATAGGAATCTCAATATCTTTGTTTCAATCTACTAAACAGTAATTTCCTTTTGACAATAAGAAAAATATGAAGTAAAAATGTGTTCCCTACTTTCATATTACCTTCTTATTTTTAAGACTGTAGAAACATGAATTAAAAAGTAAAACCAGAACTGTTACAGAAATTTATTCAAATTGATAATTAGACTAAAATAAATAAGGATGTGATGTGATTGTAGTGGGTCTTGTGTCTATCCATTATAATAATAATAATAATAATAATAATAAATAATAATGGCCAGTCTTCGCGAGCGAAGATCCGGGGAAGGTCTTTCCACCTTCCAGCCTGCGCATTGGATTTTTTAGGTGAGACACAGTGTGCGCGGAACTGAGCCCACCCTTTAATCCTGAGGTTCATCTGCCAGGGCCAAGCGAGCTTGGACGGTGGCAGCGAGGTCCTTAGGATGTAGGTGGGTTGCCTTTAAGGGCTAACGAGCTCCATCAGCCCGGGAGTGGCCCTGACCGGGAATCGAACCCGGGTCTCCGCGGTGATAGCGCGGCGCCTTTTACCACTGGACCACCAGGGGCTCCATCCATTATATATGTTAAGTGTATATATGTGTTAAATGTATATATACATGTATATATAATTTTTGTATAATGAAATATTACACAAAATGTATTGGCTTTAATGCTTAATTATTTGAAAGCACAATGAAATATATATGATTACAAGATGTGCTTCTAAGTTAAAAAATTACAAAATGATAAAAGATATATTAAAAAACATATATTGACAACTATAAAATTGAGTTAATCTTTACTGAATTATTAGAACATTTCATTGACTTCTACAAAAGAATAATATAAAAATAAGCTTACCTGTATGAATATTCCTGAATTATTTTTGAAATAAACTGAGTAGTACAGTATATTTCCATTTGGCTTTTGGGGAGGAGACCAGAATAGCATTATTGATGTGGAAGTAAGGTTTCTGTATGCAACATCTTTCGGTGGATCACTTGGTGCTGGAAAAATTTTGAGTTTTAGCATACCTAAAGCTTTGTACCTCAAGGTTTTGTACATTTTAGAGCCTGAGAAACATCCACTATAGATCAGACAGCATCCTATGTCAAATTAAATGTATTTCTGATTATGGTATAAAACCTGCTTTTGGAAATGATGCAAAGAAAGCATATGTAAAAGAATTTTTAAAACACTTTTTCAGACACATTTGTATTTTGCTACATTTTTAAACAGATAGTGTTTTCTTATAGAATTTGTCCTGTACTTACTGCTCTGGATACATAGAAAATCTAATTTGCAGACATGGAAGTTGACCAAGTTACACCTCTATACTCCAATTATAGATAATAGGCCTTATTAACTTAAACAAGGCTGACAGAAATTTAAGGCTGAATGAAAATAAAGGTTCATACTATATTTAAGCTTACCTCCTTCAGAAGTTCTGAATGTTATAGTGTCACTTTTTATATTGCCATCTCCAAATCTTGTACTCGCTGTAAGGTAAGCACTATACTCATTGTTATATTCTAGGTCTGTGAACTCCAGTGATGTTTCTGTTACATTAACACTCCTTTCTGACATTTTATTCCTGAAGAAAAAGTGTTTTATTAAAAATATACACACACTATATCCATATGTATACAACTATAGCATTATGTTATAAAATTGAAAAATGCAATATGGTGGTAAATACAAGAATTTTAGGTTTTAAAAAGAGACTAGGATCACTTTTTGTCTTTTATGTTGAAAAGCTCACTTTTGTACCGTTGTATCACAATAGGGCTCTTAATGTTGTTTTTTAAAAAAACACCCAAAACCTCCACAGAAATACATTTACAAATTACATCAACAAAGACAATGATTATATGGAATATTAAGGAGGAGCATTTCTCCTAGGAAATAACTCCTATGAAAATTTTATGTGGTACCCTTGGGAAGGACACAGTAGGGCATAACTAAACTGTCTCTCTGGACAGGAATAGCGAAATATAAAAAGATTACAGCAGGGAGCATGCCCTACTGTGACTCTGTGAAATTGGTCAGAAGGCTGAAGTTATAAATGGAATAATAGAAGATGATATGGAACAGGAATTAGCTGGTGCTGAGTTAATTCTGGTGGAATGTAGCAGGGGATCAGAATGGAACTCTAGTAAGGTCAAAACCCGCCTAGAAAGACTGTAAGATGTAACATTAATAAAACGCTGGTATTAGCATAGGTATGAAATGATTATCAGAAAGTAAAATAAGATACAAGAAATAACTAACTTGAGTTCAAAAAGTCTGCTATTCCTTGTAAAGTTAATGTAATCTTTTAAGAAAAAATAGGAGGAAAAAAGTCGCACTATCTAACATTCCATTCCTGCAAAGATTTCTGTATGAGTAGGTGCTCTGTGTCCCCAATAGGGGGATGATAATGCAGGGATGATAATTTGATAAGTAAAACCAAATATCTTGCTTTAGGAATCACTATGGAGCTCTTCACAAATGAGAATGGGTTCTAATTCTAAAAAAAAAAAAAAAAAAAAAGGGAAAAGTGATTCAAAATTATTAGATTGGTCAATTTTCATCCTTTGTTAACTGAATAAATGTCCCATTAGCAAAGGTCACCATCAAATACGTCTGAAATAAAAATAACTGCAATAAGAAAATGTGTGAGAATAAAAAAACCCCAACAAATTCTTTCTAACCCTTTCAGATTTTGAGTGGAATTGAATGTCACTTAACATGGGAAATATTCTTGGTAACAGAGAAAGTTAAAATTTACATTTTTCCCAAACTTCTGCCATTTTTAATAGTCAGTAAAAAGATACAAAACGCTGCAGCTGCAGTTATCAAATTCTACACAAAGACATTTTTTTGCTGAATCTTTGCCCAATATATTCATATGGAATTCTTACGGATCTTATGGAAAAACATATCTGGTTATAATTCAAGTAAGAAGAAAATCCACTGCTTAGTGCTGCAAACATTTCTACTCCAAGAAACTTCATTCTTACAGCTTACTCACCAAAAAACATTTCAACAACCAGACATAGAAAGAGGAACAAAAGCTTGAGGTGTTTCAAGAGATGATTTTCTACTTAGAAACAAATGTGATTGACATAAAAATAAGAAAACACTGATCAAAGTGAGTGCAGTCTTTGCAGATAATGAGAAAAAAGTATGTAGCAGAATCAGCTAAGCCAAGAAATTTTACTGAAGAAGAAATAATAAAAAAATTTAAATCAGAACTTTCAGAATTACAAGTAACAGAGGTTCTAAGAAATTGCATACTTTCACTTGACAAAGACAGGTACCATATTTTCTTAAAAATCTTTACCTCAAAGTAGATCTATTCAATAATTATCTGACAGAAATTTTCTGAAAAGGATGATGCCAAAAGACAACAGCTATATATAAGTTTGTCAATTTTGTAAATAAGCCTTTAATACTCTAGAATTATAGACTTAGGCAGTATGAGTTTGTAGGCTCAAGGCACACAGGCTTTACTACCTGCTAGCACCCAAAACCACCTTGTCCTGTGACAAATACCATGAAATACAACACTGAAAAAATTCCAGATATTACTCTTTCTATTCTAGTAGTTGTATATACTTGTTCCAGATCAGCTAAAGAAAGGTTAACAAATTCTCTATTACTGTTGCAGAATATTTAAGAAGTGAAGGAACATTTATTTAACATCTGTAGTAACCTTCATCATTCTGCATTATTGAGAAGCTCTGGGATTAACAATCTCCCCCAAAATATATTGAATACCTCCCAAAAGGAGCAACTCTATGGCACTGCAGTTTGCCTTGTCAAATCTCATCCTGCAATGCATTCTATGAAACCGTATAGACAATTCTGTTAAATACTTAAAATTCCTCTCCTTCCTCCAACCCTTCCTCCCCCTCAAAGAAAGAGTGAAGTTATGGCCCCTTTGAATGCAATGGGAGTTTTTCTCCAATGTCTTTGCCTTAATATGATACCTAAAGCCTCTCTAATTTTAGATATGGCACAGTATGGACAAGTAAGAGATAGCAAGGAGAATATGCAAGTAAGAGGGACAAGGCTTACTGCAAAAAGTTAGATGGTTGCTTAATTAAAATATTTAGAAAGATGAATCATTTAAGAGGTTTTTAAAAAAATAATTCTTGCTAAATCCTTTGTCATAATAACAAAAACAGTAAGTTATAAGGGAATTTAAGGATGAAAAGCTGTATAAACTCAAGTCTTTGAACACAGCTTGAATCAGAACCGTAGCCCTTATCATGAAGTAACTCTTTTCTAGCTCAAGGACAGTCATTAATTTAAATGGGGTTTGTCATTAAAGAGCAACAGACAATACCAGTACAGTAGAAGTAACAAAAGAAGAAAAATTTAACTTTTCTGGAAAGAAGAGCTCGCTGCTGTTCAGTTTATCATCAACTTAACTAAAGCTCTAACTAAAAAAAAAAAAAAAAAAATTAAAAAAAAAAATCAATAGGAACTGAGGCCAAACCCTACCTCCAAACTGCCAAGTAACAACAAAATAATAAATGTAAGCTCCACACTAGCAGTGTGCTTATAACAACTGTGGATTTCCACATCTAGTTCACATCTTACAAAGCGCACTTCAGTATTTGCTTCCTGCACCTTAGTAGTGGCAATAACATGGTAAAGCATAAATGTAACATATCAAAAGTGATCAATAACAAAATATTTTCACTCTCAGTAGAAGTGACAGACAGATCTTTGCAGAGATGCCATATCACTGGACCAAACTATGTTATATAGAGAATAGGACAGAAGCTTCAAGTTTTAAAGTGACAAAATTCCTTTTTAGAGGTGAAAAATATCACAGGAGGGATGATGGAGAAAAAACAGGAAAAAAGGAAAGATAGAAAAAATAAAACACAGCAAATTAATAATATCTGTTAAAAATACTCATTTGCTATGAATGTAATAAATACAAAATATAACAGTGGGCATAATTGATAGCACATACAAAGACTCTGAACATGGCTCTTACACACTTTCTATAAAAGGGGGCAATATTTTTCTGTTTTAAGCCTGTTTCAAATCTCCTTGACAATTCAGCATGGGTTTGTGCCCTGCCTTACAGTAGGTCTAATCAGAATACAATGAAAATAGTCACCATGCTCTACTTTAAAATTGAATTCATTTACTGTAATATAACCTTTGGAAAAATGCTTGCAAAATACTTAATACCCCAATTTTCAGCTACTCTGAAAATACAAAAGTCTAGTATTTTTAAGTGCTGAATGAATATTCATTCTCCAAAAACATGTAATCAACACATTGTGTAAGAAAAAACCCACATTCCTGATGGGTTACAGATTAATATTTATTCTCAGAACTACTTCCAGAAAATCTTACCAGACATAAACTGTGTAATAGAGGATAATTCCATTTGGCTCCAGTGGAGGTTTCCATGACAACTTCACAGTGACACCCAACAACTGTTTTACAGAGAGGGATTGTGGAGGAGAACTCGGAGCTATAGAATGAGAGAACAGGACACAACATCTTGTTAAACAGTTAAGATCAATGGGATATGCAACATCCTTAAATAGGTTTTTAATTATTTGTGATGAAAAGTGAACTTTGTACCACACTGGTACAGTATCCATCAGCTAACGTTAAGACACGGTTTCTTTTCCTTTTTCTGACAGATGATAAAGGAAGATTTTGCATGGTGGCATTAGAACATCTGTTTCTGTGATTCAATGGCAAAATACTTCATGAGAAAACAGAGCAATGGTTAGGTCACAGTGATTCCCCTACTGCCCAAGTATATTGCTGTAAATTTTTTCCCCATTCTAATAAAAGCAAGAGCTTTATAGTATGAACACATGTAAAATATAGCATAATAGTTCCCCTGAGGAAAAAGAGGTGCTGTAAAGAATTATACAAAGCACTAAAAGGTGGAAGAATGGGTAAGTATGGCATTGAGAGACAATAAAATTGTGGGATACTAGGCAGCAGTAAAATTTATTCACTCCATCAAATAAGGACCACATTCATACATTTAACATATCACAGTGGCAAATGAAAAGATAGGCATTCACTGAGACCCTTAAAATTAATTTTAAGATGACCTCTACATGACACCATATCACGACTGCATGGGGAAATGTAAGTAAATGAAAATGTTAGACTATGTTTGATTTCATTCTAAAGTTTGTATTAGTTTTGCTGAGGAAAATAAACCCATGTATGCATAAGTGATACTGCTTTGTATTAGCATGTTATTAAGAAATAAATATTTTTCTTCATCCTGATTCACGGACCTATGTGTCACTGTGCAGTAATATTAGAATCGCTTTTGTTTTTCTCAAATTAAACTGAGGAGCATCATGCACTAAAAATTCAGGTCATATCTGTAGTCATGCATGAAAATGGAGAATATGAGCATAACTATTAGCAAATCTATGAAACATTTGGTCTGAACCTTGGAACACTGTGTTCCTGTGAATAAGGAACATGTGGTGTATTATAAATATTGTTGTTTTTCAGTTCTTGTTCCTTCTTTCACTATCTTGAAAATTGGCATAAAGGTTTTATAACTTTTTACATTTCAGAAAAAATATTTTCTACTTTTCGTGAACAAAAGGTTCACTGTATTCAGCGAGTGTCTGTATTTACCAGATAAAAATGTTGACAGCTGTATTTAGTGTTTTATTTGTTATATTATCCTCAGTGACTGTATAATAAAAGATCTGTCATATGGTGTATGTCATGTCTTTTTGGCATGTCTACTTCATTCCACAAGTCTTATTCAGAGGATTTTTTTATTTTTGCTAAAGAATAGAAACTACATTGCTCCATATAAAAATACTCTATGAAAAAGATGGATTTATCCAAACTGGCTGTTTTCAATCTGCTCCAGCACCATAACTCTTGAGCAAATGATTTTTTACTGATTCTCTGAACGTAAGCCCATCAATATCTTGAAGATTTGCAATGATCCATTATCATCAATACCTGAATTGTAGGCAAATCAATGCTTCTTAAGACATGAAAAGAGACTTAATCTAGGAATGGTTGGTGGGATGTTTGTGTCAATTCCACTTTAGTATAGATTCCCAGAGACTTCCTCTTTAAACAATGGACAGAGACAGACACAGGCTCTTCCAAAATGTGTCACAGCACCTAATTTAAGATTTTTGCTTTGAATTTATTTTAATTATTCCCCCTGCAGAAACTATAGAGGTGACCAAGGATAACTTCCTATTACTAAATTGTGTACTAAAAGTACAAATATAATTCTAAGGTTCCTCTGCTGCTTTGTGACCTACTGTGCAAATTAGCAGGGGTAGCAACAAATGTGTTCTCTCCTAAGCCTGCAGTGCAGAACACTCCCCTGCTCAGTTTGGGAGTCCGCTGCTACAGACTTTGAGCATTTTCATAATGTGAATAATTCGACATGTATCTATGTGTATCTGTACATGCATCTGTTTAGAAGAATACAAATATCTCCAAAGGAAAAAATCCACATAAATGCTCCTGGACCATTCAAGCTGTCTTTTTGTGATTTTCCCTTTCCTCAGCTCTCATGTGTCTGAAAAACCAAACACAATATTTAATTCTACCGTGCGGTGTATTAGACTATAATAATATGAGTATATCTAGATTCTTCAAATTCATAAGGTATTCGTAAGACCAAATGTTCATCCACAGCAATTGTGCCATTTCACATAGCTTGTACTGGTAAATATATTGATAGATGGAGGAGGGAGGGAGAGAGAAAAAGAGACAGAGAGGGAGAGAAAGCATGTTCGTGTGTAGATAGACTGACACACATAGCAATAGAGAGACATAACTGCCCAAAAAACATGCATAAACCTTAAACATAGCTGACATGAAGTGTAAGAGTAATTTAAGAATACAGGCAGACAATAATACATTGCAGCTTCTGTTCTGACTTACCATCTTCATCAGTTAGTATGTGCAGAGGTGAACTACGAAGACCCTCCCCCATTCTGGTACTAGCAGACACTTCTACAGTATATTTGGTATATTTATTTAAATCTAAATAAAAAAGAATAATTCAATGAACCAACCATTCACTGGGACAAATCAGTTTTTTAATGAAGTATTTTTGAAGAGCTGAGTAGGGCTACCACTTACACTGATCTGTGTCATTAGAGATGGAAATAAGCATTAAGAAAGTTTGAACATAAAATATTTTGCAACAGCAAGGGTAAAGCTCTAATTACCAGTTTATACTTCATATTCCTAGAATGCTTTTCAGTTTGTCCTTGGTTGTAATCTGAAAATGAAGTGGTTAAGGTATTGAGCTCCCAGCATTAACTGCTGCATCATGCCTCAGCAATAGTGACAGAACTTAGAAAATAAAAGCAAAGGTGAGTAGAAAGGGAAGTTTTTTGTCCAGTGTTTTTAACCAAATTAAAATCAGAAAGATACGTTGGTGACTTGAGGGTTTACTTTGTTACAATGATAAGTCTGCAAAGATATCTATTGAAGTTACTTGTACTATAAACATCTAAAATAGAATGAGATATATATTAGACTCTACATCATTCATGGCCCATTTCACCACATTTCAAAATGGTTATTTCTCAGACAGGTAGCAAAAAACTTTATATAAGGACAAGAAGGATCATGTCCAACCAATGAACTAATTTATCCCCATGTGTCTGTTGAACACTTCCCAGAACGATTTACAGTTGCCATAAGTTCCAGATCATTATATGCTGACCTGTAATACGTAGTGTCAGAAGAGTAGTGTTTATAACTTTTTGCTCGGTCCCATTAGTCCTCTTAAGATATATTGTGTAGGTCTGTATAATTCCATTGGGAATGGATGGTGGAAAAAATGATAATTCAATTTCCATGGATGAGATGTTCCTATAGGTTATATTTTCTGGTGCAGAATCAGGAACTAGAAGAAAAAAAAATTATATTCATAGAAGATTTCAGTTAGTTTCATTAATCTGTGAAGAATTTCTATAAAGCAGTTTGAAAGAAGCATTGCAAACCTTTGGATTTGTGTGATATTTTTTTGTATAAAATACATTTTAGAAGAGGCTGAATTGGAAGATCAAAAACACATGACAGACACCATAACAATAAGATAATTTCAAAAAAGAATTGATAGAAATCATCTTAATATGCCTGATTAAAAAAATCTAGAGCATGACGCTAAACTTTCCTTCTAACGCTCCAGAACTATCACTGCAATTCTTCCTGTTAGCTGTCATGGCTGCGCTTGGCCATGGACTCACTCATCAGTTCCCTGACTTGCAGGCTGACATTGCAGTCTGGCCTCAGCTTGGCTCCACCATTACAGACCTGCCCAGCTGTCACTGAGTTATGTCTGACTTGGTTAGTGCCACTGCACCTGGTAACTTTCTTTCCTGGCTTGACCTCAGACCTGTCTCGTACACGTGAAGTGTTGGCTCCTCGTCCCTTACATAACAGCTGGCCTTGCTGTTTTGCTTGGTTTATAAAAGAGAGAAACAGCATTCAAAGTAACTGCCTTGCAAAACAATCACATACTTTTAAAATCAATTAATCTTATCTCCTGGGCATCAAAGGTTATCATAAAGCAGTTTATTGTGGAAAATTGTCATTTTTAAAAAAATATAATATACTCACCAGTTTCAGAAGTTCTGATCAGAAGTGGGAAAGACGACTGGTTCCCATGGCCAAGTCTGGTGAATGCTCTTACAGAAATGTTGTAGAGAGTATATGGCTTCATTTCACTTAGTGATATACTTGTAGATGAGGCATTTTTAATAAAAAAAGCATTGGAATCACTGTACAGAACTTCATAGTGAGTTATGAGACCATTAGGCTGCTCAGGTGGTAACCATCTCAGATTTATTTCTGTTGCACTCACATTTATTAATTCTATGTTTTGAGGTGGGGAGTCTGGTTCTGTAATACAGAAATCAGGAAAAAGCCCTTTAAATTAACTGAATATAAGGCTAATAGCCTAAACCTATTGGATCCTAACATTTATATTAGCTTACTGTACCAAAAGGACTCCATTCATTCTCTCAATCTCCTCAAAGTCTTGCCACTTTTTATCTCAGTTAATTTTGGTATGTCTTCTTTTCCACTGATAAAACTAGGCATCTTTTTGAGTCACAACATTTTTTGCTTTTCAAGAATTTCTTTTCTCATCCACTTTTAAATCTATCTAAAACAGCATTTTTTAAGAAAAAAAATCTCTTCTCTCTACTGATCTCATGCAGACTGATCCTTCAGATTCTCTCATTGTCTTCCTCATATTCAGGTTTTTAAACTTAGATTCATGTCCTCTTACTGCTTTCTACATAAATAGCCATCCTCCTTATTTCACTCAATCAACTACTGAACAACAAAAGGGACTGTATGCACTGTAACTAAATTCCCTTTGGTGACCCTGGTGTAAATCTTGGTGTGAAGGTCATGGACAAAACAAGTCCAGCTCTGGGATAGTGTGTTGGCTAAATCTACTGGCAGTGTATGAGTTCATGTGACTCCAGTGAGCTAATAAGGCATGGAAGCACTGAAGGAGTGAGTGGGTTGCACTTACAAATAAAATCAGCCCTGAATGCCAACTTTGATTCCTCTGAAGGCTTCATCACCTCATCCCTGAGATAATCTGTCTATAAAATTTAAAAAAAAATACTACAAACCCATGATTATAGGATTCATTTTGTGTACAAATTACCTATCTGCTGATATTTCAGAATTTATCATGAATTTTTTTTGGCTGAAAGGTCTCACAAACCACTTTCATTCCTGATTTCTGAGTACATGAATGGAAAGTGTTAACTGTAACAGATCACTATTCTCTGGATGACAAGACTGCCCACATGGATATTTCCCATATGAAGAAGCTTAATTTTTAATTGAAATACATTTTGCAATTTATATGGCATGGTACAATATTTAAATGCAATAGCCTAGTACCTTCCATCCTAACACAGGTTATCTAAGACTGCTGTAGTGAATCTTTTATTTGGAGGTATCTATCTTTTCAAGAGTCAAACAAATTGTCATTCCTAGGTTGGCTAAAGTTAGGAGACACGAATCTCAGCCTGAATTACCCCAGGAAAACTCAAGAACAAGAAGGAGAAGACAAATAATTATGTATAGCCTCATAAAAAAGGTAGGAATTATTGTTGGTTTCCTCACTAGGTTCCTCAAGCCTTACATACCTCTCTTACAAATGGATGAACTGTTGGTCTGAAACTCTACTTTGAAAAATTTCTTTAAGACTCAGAGGAAAAGGAATTGTAAACTTTCAGAGAAAAAATATTTAGATAAGTAATTTTCTGTTCTTGTAATATGCACTTCCTCTGTAAAACTAATAGCATAGAATCATACAACTTTAAAAATATTTGCAAGTACTTTAAGTTTCACTGTTGAATTTGATATTTTGAGTGATTATTCAAATCACCTAAGCTTCATAAATCCGCATGATTTTTAATCCCATAATCCTTTCCTCTCCATTATTGACACTCAATTATTTTTCTTGTATTATAATATATCTGTAAATGAGAGAGATAAATGGAAAATGGAAAATCCCCTTCTGTATTACTTTGGTAAAAATTGGAAATAACTTTGCTGAAACAAGTGAAAAAACAACAATACAAATGAGGAAAGATTAATACTCATGACTCTGCTCTGTAAATCAAATTCATATGTTTTCTTTGCAGGAGCCAATGACAACTTCAGCTATTGTCCCAGTGCCTTCATGACTGAGACAGTCTTGCAAGCAATTAAGGAAGATCCAGAAATCTTCAAAAAGTAGCATTAAACACTGTGTTAGAACTATTGATCAGTCTTAAAATTAATAAAGCCCCCAAAACTCTACAGAAACAATTGCATATAATATCATTCATTGTAAAAAAATCTTCACTTTATCAGCATCTTTGCTTACAGATAGTAATATGGCCTCTGAATAGTGGAAGGTTGCCTTGTCCAGGAGCTTCAAAACCAACCTAATTTCCATACGATAACATAAAAAAAAAAAAAATATGAAGGCACAAATATTACAGTTTAGATGGATGTTAGGGACAAGTTTTCAGTGAGGCAAGCTCAGCTCTGCAGCTTTTCTTCCATTTGTTGCTCACAATTGAAATTAGTTGATTGCTGCAGCTTTTGTTATTCTTTTCAGCACTTACCTAAACATGGTCTGAATGAAGTCACTGACTGATAGAAGATTAATAATTTCAACATTGATTTTATTTATGCACTTTCTTCCCCCTTTATGTACATTCCCAGTCTTCTTTCTGAACAAACACAAACTTCAGTAGAGAAAGCAAATCATCATTGCAATCAATGTACTTACCATCTTCAGGGGTTCTCACGAAAATATCATTCTTTTCAGACAAAGCACTTTCTCCAATTACAGTAGAGGCTCCCACTCTCATTTTATAATCAGTGTACTTTTTTAAGCCTGAAAAGATTAAGTAAAAAAATCTTGACTTCTTAAACATATTTATTTTGTCATAGCTACTTACAAAACTATAAAACTGAATACTGTTGTAAGAGTTTTTGATACACATTTGTTACCTAAAATACAGAATAAGTATAATACCATTTATGTCAGGACATATAGGCATTATGTCATGCCAAATAGGCATGCAGTTAAACCAACACATTTTGAAATAAGCCAACTAGCTTCAATCCTGTAACTAGCTTAAAGAATTTATTTGTCAAAAAAAAAAAAAGGATGGGTACATGTACATCCAAATATGTGGGTTTATTCTATATGCATTACTCTGATTAGCATAAATAAATGCCTGAAACCCTATTAGGAATGGATTTACTTCAATTACTATAAAAATTATCAACTTAAAATAAGAAAATTACTAATGTTAGAAAAATACTGTGAAAAAAACTCAAGTCTAAAAAATAATTGGCAATTTAGGAATACTTTTCTATGTGGACAGAAGATGCTGAGGCAAAAATTCCAAGGAGAAATCCATTTCACGTATTACTACTCATACCACTTCCCAAATTACTGCTTCTCTTACCTAGCCCTGTTCTCCCATCTCACATCCACTACATATTTCTCCACACTAGACAGGTCTCTAACAGTAGTGTCCCAACCTTGTCTCTACATGCAGTTATGTTGTGTGCGTGTGGATGTGTGTGAATATGTGAGACTTGATCCATCTACTTTGCAAATGGCTACATTATATAAAGTTGGAAAAAATTATTTTGTATAATGTGTTTGCAAGTTTAAATTTTTACCTTTGTTTAATAAAATGACACTATACCTGTCATAAGTAAGCTGTTGTTTGAAGTTGTTGTGTGGAATGCTCTTTTCGTATCCAGTTCCATTGCATAAACTGTATAATGAATGATTTTCCCATTGGGATTTGCTGGAGGATCCCAATACAGCAAAACAGAGGAAGAACTAATATTCTTGTAAGATATATTTTGTACTGAGCTTGGAACTTCAACAAAAACATAAAAATATAACAATAAGTAAATAAATTACTAAAAAAACTATCCAATGTTCAGTGACAAAAGTTACGTATGTTAACCTTGATAATATCAGAGTTACAACAACTTTACCTTGTTCACGTGTCCTGACCGTAATAAGTGATGGTGGTCCTTCTCCAACAGCAGTGAAAGCAGACACACTAATTGTGTAATCTGTGAAAGGTGTGAGGCCCTTTATAATATATGACAGTTCTTCAGCCAAAATGTTGATGGTATCTGTGAGTAAATGGAAAGAAACAGCTACTTACTCATAAACCCGCTTTTTTTCTTATGCGTTTATGTTGTCAGGCAACCTGAAACTATTTCATTGTAAAATAATTAACTTTCATGGCAATTACAGAAATATAAAGAGAAGTCTACACTCCATCTCTTATCTACACAAAGCAGAGTCTATTATAGGTCCATATTCATATGTACAATAGATAGATTGGCCTAGGTGAAAGAATGAATAGGCAACAAGTAGAACGGTAAAGTTTGTGAGAAGTCCCCCAGAAACTAGGAAAAGGTACATTTGTATACGCCCTAGTCTCTCCAGTGATTTCAGAACCATGGCTCCTGGATTGATAAAATTTTTGAGGTTTTTAAAATATTTTAAATATTTTAAAGAAAGACAGATTCCCTCTTCCTTGCCTCCCAATGGTGCTAAAAGAACTATACTTGGAAAGGCTGCCTTCACAGATCTCTTCACACTGGTATTTTTAGCAGAAGAGTTGTGGTCAGCAGAATAAAGAAGACATGCATGCCCACAAAGAGTTTTTGGTGCATCTACAATAAAGTTCAAAGTCAGCCACAATCCAACTGTGATAGCCAAAATCATCTGTTATAAAGCAGTCATTATGCCAATGCAAATGAAAAAGTGTGGGTCCTTCACATATCTGAGTATCAGGCTCAGAGTTTTGTGAAGGCATGGAAAAATCAGCAGACCCTGTTGAAAATTTGGCTGTCAACAGTTTTAACTACTGTAACTCCTATAAAATAATACTCTTATGCTAGATCGCAACAGACATTGTCTGAAATCAATTTTTCAGCAACACAGACATCTTTAAACAACTCAATACCTCAAGATGGATGAGGCCATAAAAAGAGGATTTGCATTTAAAACACTGTATGTTTTCTATGTATGACAAGGAAGATTCTTCAGGATTAACATAGTACAGAAAATATCCACTGTAGTTTAAAATAATGGATTTAATTCTGGTATTAGATACTGGTGTATATAGAGGAATTCAGTGACTTCATTAAATTAATTTAAAAATTAAAAAAAAACTTTAGTTTCTCCCCACTGTTCAAAACACTGTAAAAATTTAGAGAGGTATTTGAAATCCCTGCCTGTAAGCTGAAGCCTGCTTAACGATTTGTAAATATCCATACTTGGTAAAGAAACAGTGGCCCATTGATAATACAGAACAAGTGTACTCAGAGTGACATCACCGTGTCATGGGGTCACCTCCACCTGTTTGTAACCCATATAGCAAAGTTGTAACTTTTTGACCTATTTACCTTCACTGACATTTGAAAACCTATTAGTCAAAAGGCTTAGAGAAATCAAGGTCTCTGAAGGGCTTGGAGATATGTTAATCCCTGACAATCACACCTGCTTTGGCAACTGTAATAACTGATTGTCTATGCAGCTTGGCTGATGGCTTTCGGGTGCTTCTTTCACTAGGAAGAAGGTCAGCTGGGTGACAAGGGGCTAGTTCCTGCCTGTGTGGCATTCCCATTTGCTTCAGAAGGTTATTTGGTAGTAAAAAAATCTGACTCCAGCAAATGACCCATTTATAATTTGCTTGAACCATGTGCTAGAGATCATATCTGGGACAGTAATGAGGGTCCTTCAGAACAAAGAAACAGGTAGAAAAATATCCTAAAATACCTCACCCAAAGCAGAATGCAGTTCTGCAACTCCATTTATAGCAGGCAAGTTATCACCAGAGACACTTGTAAATATTACTGGAGAAGCTGTCTGCATGCTGGAAAACATTTCAGCTGAACCTTCATATAAATCATTGGTTGTTTCCAATGAATTCCAAGTGGGAGAAGAAGGTTTGATGTTTTCATTTATTGTGTATGGCTCCAAAGCATCAATCAAATACTAAAAATTAGAAATACAAAAATAAATCACAAATCTTGACATCACTAAATTATATAATTAAATTTATATATAATACAGAAATAGTGTTTGTATATTTGTACATATATATATATGCATACTGTTTAAATGTTGGCATACAAACCTTATCTTTCACTACACACTACAGTAACTAACTTTGCAAAATACAATCTTTATAATAAAAAAGATCAGTTGCCAGTAGCCTACAACCTTTTATTCTGATTACTGTTTAATCAAACACCTTTTTTTTATTATTATTTCTTAAAATATGGATTTCATAGTAAGGTGGCAATTTTAGAGTAAGGCCTTTCCCTATAATGCTATATCCTTGGAGCTATAGTGAACAGACACACATTTGAACTTGGGAGATTCTATTTGTACTAAACGTGATCTGAAAGAGGGTAGCAGGCATTGAAAGCAAGAGGACTTCAGATATCCCTACCAGGCCCTGAAGAAAAGGATTAACAGGTTCACTAGGTCACTGAGACATAATAAGTAGAGAGGAAGAAAAACAGAAGCTAATTAATTGAAGGGGAGGGAAAATTAGGGAGTACATATGTAAAAAGGGAGAGTGAAAGGAAGGTAAGTGATATAGCCTCCCATATGACAGAAGGGACAGAGAACAAATGTTGGAAAGGGATGGCAGTAGGTATAAGAGGATCAAGGACAGAAAGGAGGGGATAAACAAAAGCAGAAGAGAAAAGAGAGAGAGGCTAGAACATAGGTACAAAATGGTGTGTAAGCATCAAATCATTATGCCCCTTCAGAATCTGGGACCAAACCCAGGACTCCAGTGTCTCTAAATTGTTCTGCTGTCATCTGGAGCACTCCACATTCACAGACACAGTCCACCTCATTGCCAGAAACAGATGTTTTTACAGTGATGTAACTAATACACATTAGTTCTCTCCCTATGGAATCTGGATGGAGGGAAGGAAAGGTAGCTTTTTTACCCCTTTAACTAGGGGTGTATTAGCCACAGGCAGAGATACAGCATCAATCTCACCTAAGTATCAAGAGGTAAAAGCTACATATGACTCATCTTCACCAGCTTTTTATAGTAAAGTAGTAGCTCACATTGAGATATTTTTTGCTTAAAAGGGTTTTCAACATATAAGACAACAATATTTTATTGCTACTAGTTGTTGAGTACAATTATCACTGTGGATCTGACAGTTCAAATCCCATAGATGCTCTAAGATTTTGTCAGTGGGGTTCTAAATAAAGCGAAGTTTATTATGTTTTGCTTTGGTTTTTAATTAAAAAATTCATTACACTATAATAAAGCAGCAATGATGTTATACTAAGAACTCAGAAACTAGGAAATTCCATCATTGAAACATTTATGTGCAGACAATTTTAGGTTTTTTGTGTCTGTGCTATGATACAATCTTTAATTATAAAGTGATATACTTAATTTTCCAAGGATGCCTGTCTGGTTTAATGAATGGATCCTTATCCCAATTTTTTTTCCCTTACTTCTTTTTTAATGTTTGCCTCCAGGGCTCTGTATAATGTATATCATTCAACTTGAAAGTGAACTCCTTCAATGAGCTCTACATCAAAAACTTAGATTCTGATCCAGATCCAGTGAAAGACATCATTGTCTGAAATTAAAAAAAGGAATTATGCAAACTTTGGGCACCTATATTCAAAATTCAAACCAAAAAGCCCAGTCTCAGGAAAAATTCAATCCTGAGCTGAATGTTTACTAGGAGTCTGCACTTTTGTGCTGTGTACTCAGAGCTGCTCCTCTAAGACTGTAAAGCGTATCAGCACCCAAAATCCAGAAGCTGGACTGATTGACAGTGTGAGTCCCCAAAGAGATATGATCCCAGAGATGTGTGCAGATATCCTTAGTAAGCAACCATAGCATGGAGTTCAGCGTGTAGCATCGCATATGTAAATTTAAGGATGTAAATGGGGGCAGAAAGTCTAGTTGTGTCTGCCTTGCTAGTACAACCCTTAACCAGCCTTGGGACACTTGTGCTGAATTCACTTCTGCACAGCATTCACACCCACATCTTCTAGAGGTTTTGCTGAGTGGCTGTGTATCACTCTAGGCACATAAATATGTGTATCAGTCTAGACCACTCTTATAGGGTGTGTATCAATCTAGGCACCTAACTCTTACAGTTAGATCACCCTAAAAGAAAATAACTCAAGGACTCAAAAGGGCTATGGCTTCCTGCCTTCAGTAGCTAAGACAGTCTGGATCATTCTGCCAGAATTTTTTTTTTTTAAATTCTTATGGAGAGAGCATCATGAGACTCTTTTTGAAACCCAGCCAGAGAGAGTGGAGAGAGGAAGGTGGCTTTTGAAAGCATTAACAACTCACCTGTGGTGGTTAATTCCACATTCTATAACTATCAGATTAGGCAGTGAGCAAATTTAATCTAGCAAAAAAAAAAATCCATATTAAAAAAAAAAGAAGAGTACCATATTTTTATCTCCAAGAATAACGTTTTCCAGAGTCATGAGTGTTTTCTGCACATGTACTTTAACTCTGTACTGGGTAATGATTCCATTTGGTTGTCGTGGCTTCCTCCAAACAATTTTTACGTATGTGGCTTCCACTTCTGCTAAGTGTAAATCTGATACAGCACCTGGGACTAAATATTAAAGAAGAAACTTGATTTGATTAAACACCTTTGATTATTACAAGCATTTTCAGTACTGTATGCAAAGTACAACAGGCATCTAGTCGAATTTCACATCCTTTACTTTTGAACTGATCCTGTGCAGGTAGAGAGTTACTTCACATATTTTCTTAGCAAACAAGTTTCAGTTCTAAAAATATGAATTAACATATATGACATACATGTGCATACAGTCAGAGACTAAGATGATGTAAATCAGGATAGCTCTACTGAAGTGTGTGTATTGGAATCAAGCAGATCTTTGCTGTCTTCCTATATGGAATCTGAAGTATATTCGAAAATTAAAGATGAGTTCTAAAATCAAAACCATACAAGTAAACAGCTGGAAAAAAATTAATGTGACATATCTGTTTCATTTCTCTTTTATAACAGGTTTTGGTTCAATTTCTTCATTAACTATTTAGTCTTAATGGTACTGTACTTTCCATAGCACTGCCAGAGACAAAATATATTTTTGTTCAATAGAATGATACTCAGATTTCATATGAAAAAATATTTTTTTTTCCTAATACACTTCAGTAAAATACAATCTTGAAATTACTTGCATAATGAGGATTTGTAGATTTGGCATTAAAATAGGACGTTATGTTACTCTAAAAAAAGTATCAAACCCACCAAAATTTCCTTTGGCTTTTGACAGTGCATTTTGACACATGATGAGAAGGACTGTACTCAGGCGTGCTATCTCTGGAAATTGTCTCTGAGAGCTTCTCTGCTTCAGGAAATAATAAAATAAATAAGGATAGGTGTTCCTCCCAGTGTTACACCTTGACAATAAACAATGCCAGCAACCACTGATTGAGAGATTTTCTAAATTTGTGTTGTGTGGCATAAACATAAGACAGAAATAACTATCTTGAAACTGCTTATCACACATTGAATCTTGTGCATCTTCAGATGTTGACCAAAAATCCTGCACAATCTCACATACATCTAAGATAAAAACTTCATTTCTATGCAGCACAGTACTCTAACCTGGTGAGCTGACTATTGGGAGCCAAAACTTCTAAACCACTTGACTGCACCAGGACAAGACCTTGATGTCGGGTCTGCCTCAAAGCTGAGTTCCCTTGTAAGTTCCAGGGTGTTCACCCTAGTATGGGGCCTTGGATTTGGTGAGAGTTAGTCAAACGAGAGGTTTCATAAGAAACATTAGGGCTGGACAGCTGTGGGGAATCCTGCTCTGTTTTTTGTTTCCACTTGCTGCCATCTAACGGGGAAGAGGTGGGTCCTGCAACTTGATTACCGTATCTAAAAATAACTACTTTCATTCAGAAAGAGCCTTCATGTCTTGCACAGTCTCTGAGGGGCTCTGATAGCGGATAAATGTAGTGACAGTGTACGAACTGGACAAAACCAGAGCAATAAATGACATAAGTTTCAGCTAATTGCTTTCATAAGCTTGTTTTATCCTTTTCTTGTAATGCTCCTGTAAGATACCCATTCTCTGCTTTGCAAAGTACCTGAAAGGCTCTGAAGGGAAAACTGAAACCCTCTATCATGTACAGTGCATATATTTTGCTTCTCTATGATTACTTACCATCTGCAGGAGTGAAAACTGTAAGGTTAGTCTTTGGCCCCACCCCAGCACTTGTTTCAGCACCGACGTACACATCGTATGTTGTAAACGGCACGAGGTTACTAAATACAAACTTATGGTCTTTTGTGCTGTTATCCAGAATATGACCTGGAATTATAAATGAAATGATTCTAGCTCAAAAATAAAACCAGTCCACAGCTACTTTCCAGGATGATGAAAGATGAAAAGCCAAATTTCTTTGGGGAAAAGCTAATTTCAAACCAACTTCAGTGGAATAATACTGAATGTATGGGGGAAAAAAACCAATCAACCAACAAGCCACTTCAAGAAGGTGTGGGTTTTAAGAGGAAGGTATTTAAAAAAAAAAAAAAAAGAAAATCTCCACTGTTTTTCCTGTGTGGTCTCATAAAAACATTAGAATACAGTTCATAAACTTCTTACTTAACTACAGGCAGTTCTATAATTTATATGTATATACATGTCAAAGTTCAAAAAATTTCCAAAAACATCAAAACAGACTCAAACAGTTGTTTGCATACTGCACAAGAATGAAAATCCTCCAGAAATCTTTAACAGAAAGAGAAAACAGTAAAGGCAAGATAGAGAATGGATGATTTGGATGTAGAAGCACAGTAATTCAGCTGCAAGACTGAGGAAAAATTGTTTTTCTCCATTCTTAAGAATATCTAATGTGAATTTAGTTTTATAGTCCCCCTCATGATGGACTTTTCCCTTAAAAGTAATCTAAGAACTATTAAAACATCTAATAGTAAAAAGGACTGCTTTCAAACATTCATTTTTGATTGACAGGCACAGTAAGAATACAAGTGAAAGGAAACCATCACAAAAAAAAAAAGGAAAAGAAATGGTAACATCCACTCTGACTTACCAGATGGTCCATACAGCTCAACTCTGTAACTAAACTTTCCTGTTACTGTGGCTGGGGGGTCCCACATTACTGAGAAAGACTTTGCTGTAATGTTGCTCTTGGCAAAATTTTGTGGTGGGTCTTCTGGAACTTAAACAATATTGGAAAAAGTCTTTGAACATATAATAATTTATATTAGGATTTCCAAAAACCTCATATCAGATAATTCATTTTAAACATAAAATATTCTGAAGGGAAGATACATTAAAAGTATATCTCATTAAAATTACTAAATTTCTCTTTCAAGGTGATGTTCAGAAAAGGTGTCAAGACAGCTGGTAGTATGCAAATAGTCATTAAGAGACAAAGATGGCAGGGATTCTACCAACTTTAGCATGGATTTCACCGTGGTATAGATTCTATACAGAAGATGCTCAAATGTGATTGTGAGGCTCAGCAGTACAGAGCTCACATCAGGTAAGTTTTCCTTCCCTGAACAGATTCATTTTTCGCAGAGAATTCTTCATATTGAAGATTTCTTGCAGACTCTAATGATATCTATTACTATCCCAAAAGCTAAACCTGTAACCAATGAAGTTTGTTAAAACATTGTATATGTGAGTAATTTTCTATTTTCATTACACTATTTGTGCAAATTAAATGAACCCAACACTCAAGTGATTACAGAATGCCACCCCTGGTCTCTCTAAAGTACCCCTTACTGCATTTATAAAGTAATGACAGATTATTACTGATATTAAAAACAGAATCCAATTAAAGGAGATGGAATTGTTTACATCCACATAGAGTAAAATCAAATCCAGTTTTCAAAAATGTTGCATACAGAAGTAAACTTATGGAAAATGCTTGACATAAATTTCTGTGAAAATCAGTCTTGATGAGTCATGTCTGATATTTAAGACAATAGGGAGATAAACTCTGATCCTGTAAACAAATACACAAGTTAACTAATATACTGCTCTCATAAAGTACTATTGTACTTTGTAAAAGCTATTATACAAATGAAAGAAATTAAAAATCATGTAATTTCTAAAATATATGCTATAGATTAGTCAGTAGTGACTACTTAATCATTCTTAGTTTTGCAAATTGTGTAGGTTAAAACTGCACTTATTTCTGAAGCGTCATCTCAAAAGTTCACTATTTTCCCCAAGTTTTAATATTTTTCTCTCTTATAAAAGTGTCCTCCAATTGACAGCCATTCCAGCAAAGGAAGTATTTCCATGCAGATTTTTCAAAAAATATCTAGCATTTTAAAACACCTTAAAGAAGTAGCCTCCTTTTCAATAATCAAAGTAAGAGAAATATCATCTTTTTGTCAGAAAAGAGCTGCAGCATGGTTCAGAAAGTTCTAGTTGGGGGAAACACAAATAGTTTTCAGCGTGGAGCACCAATGAGCTTGGGTGTACCAGTGTGCTGCTAAGAGGAAGGACTTACTGAGGCTGGGACGAGTAGGACTGACTGTGCCTGTGGCCCTGCACACACTCACACTGACCAGTAAGCCCACCTCTCTTTTCACAGACCCTGGCTCTATGCAAGGAAAGAAAGCCTTATCTTCCAAACAGTTGACAAATTTCTATGCATGTGGTGAAACTAAATCGTATTGCATAAGCTTTTCATCACTTTCCAGGGTTTTCTTATTACCAGTGCACCTATCCTAGGATGTTAAGAGTGAAAAATAAATTGGAAATTAGCCCTGGTATCATTAGAAGAGAAACTGTCCAAAATTTCATTAACCTGAACAGAGTAGCAAATTAAGGCTACTCAGATTCTATCAAAGAAATTCAAATTAACTATTCTAGAAGGGAATAAAATTTCTTTTCATCTGAACAGTGCTATGAATCTTGTATGTGAAAGGGAACTGAGTAATATCAAACAGGGTCAAGAAAAAGAATGACGTACTAGCAAACAGAGAGCCAGAATAATTGTTCTAAAATACCTTTATGGTATAGCTCTACTAACAGTGCTGTCCACTACCTAAGCCATTATAAAACTCCATCTCCTGCACCTTTGTTTCCAATTCTAACTTCTCAGTGCATTGCAAGTAATCCAAAATCAACTTCACCCAGTGCTTAAAGATTTCTTCATCACTGAACAACTTTCTGCAAGATTGGGAAGCATATAACAAGAGTTTTCTTTTTACTTTGCTTATGTCTCTACAAAGACAAAGAAGCTTTAAGTGCATTGCTATGTACACAATACACATACTTTTTGAATAATATGACTGACACCTTTTCCCTCCATCTTTATTTTTAATTCTCCTTCCACTGTACTATTAATTGCAGTTCTTAAATTATCTTCAGTTTTTCATAAAATTTGATCTGTCCTGACCATATCTTTGGTACCTTTGACTCCTAATAATAACTGAACTCCCATAACTGTACATTAATAGATATTGTTACATACATTTTCAGTTGATTCCATCAGGTAAAATTAAGTAATCATGTAAATACAAAAGCATGATGCAGATAAAGACAGATTCAGACTGAAGTATCTTGCAACAAAAATTCAAACTGGTATTTTGAAGTTTTTACCTAAATCTGAGAACTTTATTTCCATTTTAAAGCAGTATGTACCTGATTCTGGTGTCCGGACAATTGCACTGTCAATGTAGCCTGCTTCAGTGGTAACTGCAGAAACTTCAAAAAGATAGGTGGTATATGGCCTGAGGTTAGTTATAACATAGCTAATTGGTTCATTCCAAACAGAGCTCATCTGACTTGGTGCCTCTGTATTTGGTGCAACTGTAGTGTGTGAAGGAATTGTGGATTTCCCAAAAGTAGTTGAAGGAGTGGTAGTACTCCACAGAAATGATTCACTCTTATCCTATAAAGACAAAATATGAAACATGATAAGCTGTATCTATAACCTATAATTGCAAATATATGTAGATCAAAAAAAGGCAGACCACCTTTGAAAAAATATTAGCCTGAATTGGTTCTCCATTTTACACTCCATTTCCAAATTTAGGTTGACAGTGCTGGTACATCCTGTCAGTGATGGTATTATAGTTTTCTGCCTTATTCAAAAAGATCTCATATCTGACTGAATGGAAGCATCTCTCTAGGATTCATTTAATTATTCCCAGATTCCATTTTCAGGATTCAGTCTATCCCTTGAAAAAAAGTTCTGTAGTGAGGTCCTTTTACATCACATATATATTCTACGTATGTATGTATATATACATATACTAATGGATAAAACCAGACAAGAGTTTCTTAGTACACCCTGCCAGGAGACGACTCTGGAAAACTGTTGAACATTATGCTAACCAATATTTATGATTTAGTAGGTGGCAGCCTGCCTTCTTAGTGCTAAATTAAATCAGCCTGGTGTCAGGAACCTTCACAATGCCTAAGAAGGTCTTCCAAATAAAATCTGAAACCAAAGTTATTGTAATTTTTGTAATTTAAAAATTGAACTTTTCATTAAAGTACTAAGCCTAGCAAACTTGGGGGGGGCAAGAAAAAAGGAAAAAAGTTTAAGTAGTTGCAACACTCTCTTTAGAGTAAGAAGGAAAAGGAGAATAAATGCTAGAAAAGAGAACTTTCTTCAAGAAATTCTGAAAGGTATACAATGGTCACAGGTATCCAGTGAATAGTCAAAATTCAGAAAATTTTCAGTGAATGCTTATTTTAAGAACAACGTAGACTACAAACATATTTTTGTAAATCACTCTGATAATCATGGATCTTTTTATTTTGATATGAGAAGTATTTCAAAAATATTGAAATGTGATGCACAGAATAAAGCATACTTTCAAAATATAAAAAGCTGTATCATACTACATAAAAAATAGGACATGAACATAACTCTATGTCTTCACTGACCAAAAAAATCCCTTGAGTTCTTGGGTTTTTTCTACCTGAATATCCTATAAAACAAACAAACAAACAAACAAATTAAGAATTGAAAGCTGAAAAAAATTATCTATTTTGTGATTTTCTGTTAAATGGATGCCAAATGTAACATTTCTTAACATTTTTACTTTGACTAAACCGAGCTTTTCAAGGAAAAGCATTCCATTTAAATGATTTTGAACAGAAAAATTTTTCTTGAACCATTATAATCCTGCCTTGGGTCTAAGTTTGTAAGGCACTTGGAATTGTTCTGAAAAGCAAGCCTTTTCACTTCTTATGTCTCAAAATTCAAATATGTAACTATATTCAATGTAAAACTATATTCTGTGGGATAAGTCTATTTCTAGTTTAAAAGGTTTATAGCACTTACATTACATTCTGGTAACCTCCCAGACAGAAGGTCCTCTACTTTAACCAAGACATCTTTCACTACAATTCCACTTCTTGCGTGTTTCACACTAATCTTGAAACTAGTTATCTTTCCATTTGGTTGCCGAGGGAGAAACCAGATCAGATTTACAGCTGAAGAATTCAAGGCTTCAACTGTGAGATTCACTACTTTACCTGGAGCTTGAAAACAAAACAAACAAAAGCAGTGAGACAAACTTTCCTTCTCAGCACTGAAAAAAAGAAAATTCCTCTTTTTTTTTTTTTTTTCCTGGTAATGCCATTTCTAGTTTCCAAACCCTGAAGCAAATAGATAACTATATAACTATTTCAGTCTCATAATAATATAGTAATTGTTTTGGTCAACTTAGAAATATTCTTTCTATAAGAAAGTCACCTTCTATGCCAAAAGTAGAAAAATTTCGTTTTTGTTTGTTTAAGAGCATCTGACAACACTGGGTGTTTTAGTTCACTTTACCTGTGTCATCTTTTCAGCTGCATATAGATTTATGGTAGCTTTAAATAACTCAGTTTAATCAGACTATTCACTATTACTGCAGAAATGGTGTTCTTTGTAGCAGTGAGTTTCTGTGGCCTTTTGTCAGAGTATCTGTATTAATCAGAGCACAAAGGAAGGAGATGCAGCATTCTAATGAGATTTTACATGCTATCTGGACTTTCCTGCAAATTAGAGCACTGTGTCTATCTCTTAGTCCTGCCTAAGGCAGGTCTGCAGCAAGTCCTGCAATAGGTAGCCTCAATACTATGGAGAGAAGGGTTAGCTTTTTATACTTAAAAAATACAACATTCCACAATTCAGATTCCTATTTAGTGCTTTCAGCCCTGCTAAATCTTTTCCGGACTTTTCACCTCTTTTCCCCTCCTTCCAGTCCACAGCCTTTAAATTTAAATAATTTTATCTTCTGGCTAACTTTCTTTCTTTAAACTGCACATCTGCATGTTAATCCATAAAAGCAAGAGTTAAAATGAAAAAAAGGTTGAGAAGATAAAAGTATAAATGTAATATCAGTGACACATAACTCACCTAGAATTTGAAGAAACCTTCCAATTACATTCACAATAGGCAATTTTAGCTTTAATAAAAATATAGTCAGAAACACATCAAAAAGTAAAAAGCTTATGTTCTCATATAGGCAAATGTTAGTGTTGTCCTCTGTCAAAGATGAGTAAATCATAAAGCTCACAGAAATATGGTTTTCCATCAGCAATAATGTACACAGAAAAGTGAAAAATAATGATTTTTCATAGCTCCATGTGGCAAGTTTACTACTCCTTCTCATATTTGGTTTCATATATTATTGCATTATCTTAGAAATCTCATGCAGAGCGATGATTTTCTGACATTAATTGAGATATCTCACTCTGTAGTTTGCACAGAAACAGAAAGCAGCCTAAACACAGAGGGACAACACTGCCATGGCAGTATGAATTCTGTATTCCACTGAGACTGGTTCACCCTGGTGCAGCTGGACTGGTGCCAGCTCTTCAGCCAAGGCACAAGTGCTCCTGGAGCACGAGCAAGACTACAAACACTGAAAGTAAAGATTATGAAAACTCAAACTACTTTTTTAATCTTCAAAACAACTCCAATTTTTATTTTCATTTCCGATTTTTTTTTTTCAGAATTAAGACATATAAATTTAGTAAAATGGTTTCTGTTCTGGGCTTCTTAGAACCCAGCACTAAACTAATATGGATTGATTTAAGTAGGCAATGCCAGAGCTGATCCCACAACAAAATCTGTCTCTTAGTACTGTTGCAGGCAACAACAGATGGGTCCACTTAATAGGTAGCTCTGCTCTCCTGTGACCTTACTTTCTGGAAGCAGCCTACCTAGAAACTGGCATAGGAAAAGTCCAACAGAGACAGACTTTGCATATGTAGCAGTTGTATTAGAGACACCCATATGTGCATACTCCAAATGATGTTATTAGCAAATAGAACAAAATAAATCTTTGCTGAGAGAATAAGAAAATAATTACAATCTTGTTCTAAATGCGTTATAATGAACTTTGCCATGGATAGTTTATTTGAACAAATTAGAGCAGATTTAATTAAAATAACTAGCAGCTTTATTAAAATTACCACTTTCTGCAGTCTGAAAAAGGAAAAGATCACTAAACACTCCAATACCAGCACTGTTCACAGCAGCAACCTACAGGGAAAAAAAAAGAATCCACATTAGAGAATCTATAGAATATATTATTTCAGGAATATGAAAATCTCAAGGATACACAGGGATTCAGCTTCTAGCTTTTAAATACACAAATGAACATGCCTTTTCTAATTGCATTGTTGAATTCATACTCAATATACAAATGTAGAAAAATAAAAGGGAGAAAGTATGAAACAGCAGAAGAAACTGAGAAAATCACGTGTGAATATCTGCACATTGGAAGTGCTGAGTCCCTATTTTATGGCAGTCAACCACAAGAATAACATCAGTGACAGTCCTGTTCCTGAACACAATTCACTTAAACCAGCTTTCACAATCCTATTTTACTTACTATGAGTTAAAAAAGTAAAAAGGAATATAGGTTCTCTTTTATTTCTCCTGAAGGATAGCAAGAGCAGGTCAACCTCCCTCAGAGAAGAAACCCAAGGAAAACATGTCTTTTCATGGAAAAACAATATGTCAGGGAACTGTGAATGCACTTTATGGTGAATGTCCTTCAATGCTCATGATCATAGCAGAGTCTCCCCACAGAAGGGCACTACACTGAGATTTTGTGGAGATAAACAGAACAACAAAATTATTTTCTCCACAATATAGTGACAATTCGATGCAGTGATGGGCCATGGCATGCATTACTTACAAAGAAAGAGAAATGAAGTCTAACTTCTTATTTTGAGAAGTGAAAGAAACAACAAAAGGTAAAACATGAGCAACATTCCAAGAGTGTTGTTGAGAGGTGTGCGAAAGAGGAAGCAAAGTAAAAAGCTCTCCAGCTTTCTCCAGAGTCCTTCACTCCTGCCAGTGTCAAGCAACAAAGGTATGGCAGTGGAGCTGAGGGGACTGACAGCACAGACTTTGGGGAACACAGGGTGAGAAGGGGCAGATGTGCAAAACTAAGTGTGGATGGCTGTAGAAGTGACAGACAGCACACAGGAAGGGAAAAAGAAAGCAGAAGGAGCCCACAGGTCAGAATGGGAAACTTGTTCTAATCACTTCTCAGCACTAAACATCTGTCAAAGACTGTAAACTGTTTAAACAAAAGGACTAAGCCACAGCAGAAAAACACAACAAAGAAACACAAGGTAGTGTGTAAGACTTAATCTAGGATGTAAAGGAAAATCTATATCACTGTCTAGCTCCTTCCTAAACCACACAAATGTGCCCTGCATGCACACACACGTCATGGCTACAGCCAACCCTACCTACTTGTGCATCACAGGGACAATGACTTGAAACATCCTTAAACATTGGTGAATTCTACTGTAGTTGCAGTAGCTGAGGAAATTAACCAGAGAGCTTCAGGGGACTGACAGGCAGTCAGAAAATTCTTACAGTATTTACATGAGGTTATATGTATCCTCACTTAAGCAATGCGTTTTGTTATCTCACCTCAAAGTAGGTATTGTAGAAAGAGTTCAGAAAGAAAAACTAGCATAAACATTGAAACTCCTATTTTATATGTGTAGTTTCAAGATAACTCAAAGTTACTATGACGTAAGTATGCAAAAATTTGCATGGTAAAGGTTTCAGCTACAAACGCTGATTAGCTGTGAATAGAAATCAAAATAAATGCTTACACCATGTACTGGTAGCTTATAGAGACCACTGCCACAAAGAGCCATTATAGAAAAAAAGCTTGGAAACATTTAAAAAGGACAATTTTACTACACAGATAACAAAGTACTATGCAAGGTTCAAGTAGCTGCAGTTTATGTTTGGAAGGCTTATTAACTGTTATGCTTTGGCTTATGTTGTCACTGATTATTTAAGTTTGGGAAAAAAAAATCTTCCATGCATAATTTCACAAAATTATTGATGATCAGATGTTCAAAATTATCCATAGCTCTCCAACATTTAAAAAATTAACTCTTGTAACTGTTATTCCCTTAAAAGGAATATGTTTTGGTTTTTTGTTAGATGTAAAGAAATTAAGACTGGACTGTTACAAACAGGTTGGAAACCCATATTCAAATCTTATAAGCTCTAATGAACTGTAATGTCACAGTATTTACCAGAAAGAATTTCACAATGGGATCAAGCCAGGTACCCTAAAACAATGAAGAATCTTCACTTATACAAAATTCAAAAGCTACTTCTGAAGATAAAATAGACCCCAAACATTAACCAAAGAACCACAAGAAATTCCTCAAGAGAAGGAAAACATGTCATATTTCTTTTTTGTCCACATATATGAGGTAGAAAGTGTTCCACCTTATTCATTATTAAAGGGTCACAAATCACTGAATCAAATTCTGCTCTAATGTCAATGTCTCAGGCACCAGGAATGGGAGCAGTTGCTTACCATATATATCAAGAAAAGGCAAATTATTGCTAAATAAAACAAATTATTTAAAATTACTCACAGCTTTCCCAGGGGAGATTCATATGTGGAGCAAAGAATGCAATTTCCAAACCCTTAAATAATGAACCCTACAGAAGAGCTCCAGAGGTACTCCTGATTGCAAATTGAGTTCTCTGAATAATGTCATTTGTCTGAGGAGATTGATCTGCTCAGATCCTAAGTGATAATGCATTTATCAAATGGCAGACAAACTTTTTTTTTAGGGGGTGCTGTGTTTTGGGGTTCTTTTAGTAGATGACTGGAGGCAGGAGCCTAAAGGATAAAAATTTCTCAAGCTGTGGATATACTGGCTTTCATCAGCATGCTCGTCAGTGCTAGGTTCACAGTGAGCAACTTTCCTACAATGGCAGCCATAATTACGTTTTTTACTTTCTTACATACACATCCCACCCTTACAAAGGATCCTTGCACAGCCTGATTCCTAGTCTAGTCCACTTCAATTTTCCTTATAGCTTTGTGCTGTATGAAATTACATCACAGAATCACAGATATTCTAAGTTGGAAGGGACCCAAGAAAGATCACCAAGTCCAGCTCTTGAGCCCAACAGGGATCAAACCCACAACCTTGCTTTTATTAGCACCCTGCTTTAAACAGATGAGCTAATTTCAGGGTCATGATACGGAATGAAGCAAATAAAAAACATAACTTCATTAAATCTTGGTTTTTAAAAGAGGTTCTTATGAAAGAGTAAGTCAGGCAAACAATTACTTGGCAAGAGAATAGCAGTTAATTTCTGTGTACCTGAAGTCATGTATTGTTGAAGAGTTCAGAGATGGATCGGGAGTGCTATAGAAGTGGCATAGAAGACATGCTATCCTGGATCTGACTGAGATGATTTAGAAATCTACAAGTAATATCCAAAGTGCACCAGTCATTTGAAAGATTAAACCTCAGTGAAGATTGGATATAGATTTTTCTGAAAAGTCTACCCTTTGCTTTTTATGTTTTAGCACATAATGTCATATGTCAATAAGAATATCACTAGAAGAAACTACGTTTCAGTACAATTTTGGTTGGAAATATTTTTAAGTACGTTTAAAAAACACTACTGTAAACAAATATCTGACTACTGTATTTTGATATATGGCAACAGTAATTAGCAATGTCCCTCTGAAAACTCTACAGGGACCTGCTATAAACTTACACAGTTTACAATAAATCAGAATTCAAAATAGTAAGAGTGATGTGTAAAGCTTTTACCATAATTTCGTAGGTTGTTCCAGGATTAAGACTGGTGAGAAGAACTTCCAAACTGTCTGGTTTTGTTGTGACCTGTGTATAAGCTGTTTGCCTCCATGGGCAGACTTCTTTATATTTAACAATATAGGAGAGAATTCTGCCGTTTGGATGCAGTGGTGTATTCCATGACAGCAGAATCCCAGCAGAGCCCACTCTTTCACCTGCAAGGAACACAGGGGGTCCAGGATCTGAAAAAAACCATGCACATATAAACCAGTTTTTAATAATTTTCCTCATAGTGGAGACACCTTCACAGATTCTACAGAGAAATTAAATCATCTGCCAGTACAAACTCATAAAACTACTGAAAACTGTGCACTTTTGAATAAAAAGCTTCTTTTTTCTGTCTAGAGTCCTATTACAAAAATGATTAAATGAATTTTGGAGCACTTCTTTAAGAATGTAAAAATCTTTCTCTTAAAAACACACTTTAATGACAATTCAATACTTGATGTATTCTGGCATTCTTAATTAAAGTCATTTTCCCTAAAACATGTCAAAAGTAAATTCACTCTCTTAAAAAAGACATCTGATATGGCTACATTTTTTTTAAAATCTCTCTGAACATTTCTGTATGTACCACTATACATACAAATTGGGGTATGGATATTATCACATGACACAAAAGTAAATTTTTCAAAAGCTTGTAAATTCTCATGATCTCATAGAACACCTCAGATTCAGTGTATTTTTAAACAGTTAAAGAAGATTAAATATTTTAATCACTATTCAAAACCGATTGTAATTTCTTGGATACTATTGTGCATATAATAAACACAAAAAATTATAGTTTAAAAAAATCAACAACATTTCTTTAGTCATTTTTAACTCACTTGTCACATTTGTTGTCACTGTTCTACTTGCAGGTGAACTATAAAGTGAAGAAGAAACTGCAGAAACCGTAACATTGTATGTTGTTCCAGGAATAGTATTAGAAAAATCAGCCTGAAATAGGGCATAGATTAATTTAAACCTTTTACCAAGAAATACAAAAATAAACAAACAAACAAACTCCACAAAACAAAACACAAAAAAATCACAGAGAAGTTTAATCATTTCATTACTGAAAGTAATCTGTTAATAAGCTTTTAGAGATATAACAGTATTTGCAAGAGTAAAAAGTCATAGTTTACATCTGTTAGCTACAGTACAGTATTTTGCTGTCTTATTTAACTACCCTCCATAAGATTTGTATAACATTCAATATTAAAGAACAACAAAATTAACTATTAATTTTATCAGAGAATCACTTATCAGTGTATCTATACAGGCTTTTCTGTATTATCATCATTATCAAAACAAAGATGAGGCATTATAAAATTACCCTTTGAAAGAATGAACAAAAAAGCAACCTGAAAAACAAGTTTTTGACCCTTAAGCTACCCCATGCTTTGAAATCAATATTTTTTTTTTAGCAAGCAACTATATAAAATACCTGTGTCTTTGCAGTTCCAATGACAAACAAAAGCAAAATATCCAGAACAACCATTATTTCTGTTAATATTATTATAATTTCCAGACAGCAGACTCAAAAAGTGCTCCTATATCTTTTTGATGGCTTAGCAGTGAAGTGTTGCCTGCATTAATGATTTAAGCACAGGTCTTCCTGGCAAGTACACAATTAATGAGTCTGTATTACTCAATAGCTCTGCCCTCCCTTGTTAAACTATTCATGAACCCTTGGATGACTGGCTGTATCCTTCTACTAGACTTAAAAAAAGTAAATTCACTACTTGTTGTTAAGCAATAAACTCTGGATGATGAAATTTGCCCTCACCAATTTTTCAGTAACACTTTCATATTCGTATTCGCATTAAACAGCTAAGGGGGAAAGCTTCAATTTCTCACCAGCACAGTGCATAAGGAAAAGGTGGCCATGCAAGTCCTGTAATAAAAGCACATACTTGATACTCCCTAACTCCAAGATCTAGGATAACAACAGAAGCATGGTCAGGAATAAGATCCACATGAAATCTGTCTACAAGTCCATATGGTAGTCTCCAATACAGTGAAAAAAAATATGATGAAACATTGAAGAATCTAAGTCCTTCTGGCTTTGCAGGTTCTGAAAGAGAATTTTGGAACAAAAGACATAAACCCCCTTGAAAAATATATTAGTAGTTACAACTGAATGTAAAAGCATCCAAAAAGAGTTTACTTGCTACATGAAGGATAATTACTAATTAATCTGGGCACTACAGTTGCTATACCTGCTCTGAGAATTGGCTGATAGACTCCCAAGTACGCTGCATAGAAATCTCCATTCCCAGAGAGCAAGCTCAAGGATCTCTGCCCAGTGTTCAATTAACAACAATCTCTGCACAGTCCTGGTGTTGCTGCTGCCCTCAGCCTTAAAGTTAGCACTACTTCTGCTACTGACATAACAGTGTTGCTGTTGAAATTCAAGATACAGCCAGTGCTTGTTCTGCTGCTAGCAGTTTCTTAACTCTTTTATACATTTCATGTATTTGGAATTCTAGTAATTCCACAAACTCTGGTGAGTGAAGTCCTTCAAATTTGGGTGGTCTGCTCCTTTTATTAAAGTCAAGTTTCCACCTGCTCCTGTCATACCATCTCATTTTCATCTGCCTTTAAATGCACCTTTAAATGTGTATCGTCCACTCAAAGCCTAATAATGAACCAAATTTTAAGTTCTTCAGTAGGTCATTAAAATGCAGTCATGTGTATTTATTTCATTTCTACTCTGGAACATATACACAACTAACAGCTTTCCCCTGTGCTTATCTCTCAGAGCATGCCCAGTCAGTGATGCTATTTGTCACATTTCAAATTCACCACTACCCTTGCACTCAGTCCTCTGTCTGCTTTACTAACATGGTTCTCCAGAATTTAGACTAAATCTTCTAGCACTGTTTATACATTAGTATCATACCGTGCACTTTGAATATCATATTGCTTCCACCCTGAAAGAGCTCCACTCCTTTCTTATTTGCTCTAAATCTGTTTAGATTACGTATCTTTCATCAACTCTTTGCAATGACTATTCAAAGTGGTAGAATTGTTTCATGTGGATTAATCCAGTTCTACCATCAAATAATCTGAAATATTAAAATATACAAATATTACCTTTAGATGTTATATTCAGCCTGTATTTGTCTCATTGTTTCATTTTTAACTCGCTGCTTTATTTTAACACTAACAGAACAAACATATATGAATAATAGTGGATGTGTTCAAGTTTTAACTGAGAGGATAGTTTCTTCCTTTTAGTATAGTCTTATAAATTTTAAGTCCTGCAGCTATCATCAGTGCTACTATTTCCATGGATCTCAACTTCCTTTAAAGCTGGATTTTATGCTTTTAGAGGTCTTTTTATACAACCTGGGACTAATCTCGGAGTGTAGCATACAATATAAAGCCTTAACTCTACAAACATTTCTAAACCTGTTTAACTTCACTCACTGCAAAAAACCTACTGAAATGAGGTAAGGTAAAACACAGCTCATGTGTAACTCCTTGCAGCATAGGACCTGAAACTGGTCAAATGAAATGCAGCACAGCTAAAGAAATTATGTTTCTGGTAGTGTATCACTACATGCAGGTTGGATAGGGTATAAGTAATGTATGTCCAGAGTGACAGCAAACTATTATGTGCAAGATCTCCCAAAATTTCAGTGTTATGCTACAAAGTGAGATGTAAAAAGCTAAACATGAATTGTTAGTGGCAGGTACCATTCATTGGCAAAGAGAGAAAGCAAGAAACCATACAGACCTGTTACAAATTCAATGAAAGAAGCAGCTCCTTCAATATTTCCTTTCACTCTTTGCAGTGTGAAATTATAATTGCCCCCAGCAGTCAAGTCCATAACAGTGAAGTCAGCCAGTGTTCCTGGAATCCTTAAAATTTTTGTAAAGGTGTCGTTTGATAAAGATGCTTTATAAGAAGTGAAGTTTGTCTTGGTTGGATTCCACATTAGAGTTGCAGATGAAGTATTTACCATTTTTAATGTCAGACCACATATCCCAGCAGGTTCTACATAAAAATTATTCAGATTATTACCGAAAAATTTAATCAGTAGTCCTTAAAACACAAGAAAAGACTAGTTTTTAAAAATGGAATTTTTTTCTTTAAATTAATTGAGACTTCACAGCATCATGAAATATTGATACAAATTTTAGAACTATGTTTGTATGGCTATATAGTAAACAGTGCAATCATGTTGCACAGAGTAAACTGGGGATGTATCTCCTGTGTGCATTATATAATTTACAGAAGAAAATTCCAAATTTATCAGAGCTGTAAGAACACTAACACTGCTCACTGTTAAAACAGAATGGGAATGGAACACTTTTTAAGCAGAACTAGAGATTTTACTCAGTTTTCTAAAACACATCATAAGTCATACAATTTTGGAAAACTGTTCATCTGTTCACTTAGGGACACAGTAAATAGCATAGTCTCAGTGATTACCCCTTTTTTTCTTTTTAAATAATCCTTTTGATTATATTAAGATGCCTAAAATTGCAGACAATGTACAAATAACACCTCCATTAATCTGTGCAGCACAGCTGCAGTTAGGAAAGAAAAATGTTTTCATTCCTCCTAAAAAGTGAATCATCTAAATTATTCATTTATCTTGCTTGAAACTTTCCCAAAAAATACTAATTAACATATTTTTATTATTCAACAAGAAAAAAAAATCTGAAAGGTTTACCATCAAAATTATAAACTCTCCATAACAGCCATACATTGTACTCATTCACAATTCTCTTGAAAGTATTTACTTGAGGATAAAAAGCACCTTTAGGACCATGTTAATGATTATTCTGCTGCACTTTTGATTAACAAGAATCTGAAGACGAGATCTGGGTTTTTTTCAGAGATTCATTCATCTTTGAATAACTAAACACGGAGCCTCCTTGACTATTAACTCAGTTAAGGAGTTATAGTCCAAACAAGCCATAGAAATTCCACTGAAAAAGGGGGGAGATCTACAATGTGCAGGTATATAAATGTGAGAGTTGATTTATTTTCTGATTACTATTAGCTGCTATTTATCCCCTTTGGCAGCCATAATTCTATATAAATCTTTTTCTTCAAATCTCTTCCAAAAACAAATATACCTGTTTTCATGTTGTATCACAGGAGTACTGGAAAACATGTTTGCTCAGAGACAGAAAACGTGTGCAAGATACTGGTTTCTGGACCTTGTTAAGCTCTCTGAAACACAATTCCTCTTTCTATATTAATTGTTCTGTGTCCTTGTACAGGAACAATCCTCCAGTCTGAGACTATGGGCTTGCAAGAACTTAAGAGATGCAGAAACAATTGCAAACATAATTCAAGGTGTTTCTCAAAGTATAGAAAGCTATTCTAGCTCTGTTGGAGCTGGAATAATTTTGAGTTCACCTTGTTTTTCAAAAAGCCTTCTTCAGTTATGTCTACACTCCTCAACTTCAATCCAGTGTGTTATGTGGAAGGGTCCTGTTTAAACGAGTATCTAAAGAAGAAGCAGAACTTTCCTCCCAAAGATAAAGTTTCTTTTTGAAATGTGTGACCCTTTAGAGCCACTTACAAACAATGATTTAAATGTCTCTGAATATTTACTAGTTTTCAAAACAACAAGTTATAAGGTATTTTCTTACTTGTGATGACTTTTTTCTCCACAGCCACAGAGGAATCCAAGCCTTTAACTGTCCTTAAATGAAAAACATATTCTGTCCCAGGGGCCAGATTTTGCACTACAGCTCTGCTGTCATAAATAGTTCTGATAAGCAGCTTGTCATTATTCATTGGACAATATGAAAGCTATTGAAGAAAAAGAATTTCTTACATTAGACCATTCAACTTTATAAAAGTATTTTTCAGAGATTGCAACTACCTGTTAATATTAAAATATTTAGAATATTTTCCATATTTTAAAGAAAAAAAAATGAAGAAACTTTATATTATGTTCCACAATTACTCTAAGATTCATTAATAGCCCAGTGAATAGGCAGTGGTGAAAGCAACAGCTTTAAAAGTAGATGTAGGAAGCAAAGTTAAGCCATGACTTACAGGTTTTTGCTCTTGGATGAAGGATAATAAAGTATACTCTGACTGCTCAGTCACACAGCTGTACTGCTGAACTGTACAATTAACTAACTGTACCTTTCTGGCAAAAAAAATGCCAACAAAACAAACAAACAAACCCAAATCAAATAAATAAATAAAAAAATTCCACCCATGCACTCTTCAGAGTTGAGATTCTGAAAAGAATACCAAGGAATCAGTCACTCAACTCTGCTCACTGTTATGCCTTGAAAATTCTTTTGTTTACAGTCACTGCAGAGAATAAAAGTGCTGGAGATGCCAAGCAATTGAAATTTGGGCACTTAACTCCTAGAGGCTCTGGGGATTCCTTCTGACCTCCCAAATAACTCTAAGGTGACTAAAAAATTTCCTGTGACAGCCCTTTGTAGGGACATAGGAGACTGTCCCTACAGACTGCTTCATACCTGCACTAGTGAAAGGCAAGATGCAGACTGTGCCTGCCCTGCAGAGGAGGGCACTAGACAAGCATCTCTAACATGCACACATGGGTTTCTAAGGCATGGCTGTTAATACTAAGAGATCAAGGTTTGCAACTGCCTACATCAGCAAGTCCTGTCCTGCCACGTGTTATTTCCTCCAGCAGAAGGGAGATTTTATACACGTGGCAGTGACCTGAAAGCATTTTGGTTTAGCTGCTATTCATTTGGGGAAGAACAATCCACTTCCCCCCTGTATATTTTACCAGCACAGTGCCTATTTATGCAAACTAAATCTTGGAAACTGTCGTCACCTTATTAGAATTACAGCACTGAAAGATGCTAGAAGCAAAGCTACAGATTAAAGATTTACATCTAGTATAAACAAGTTAGGAAAGTACCTTTTGTGAACTCTTTGCTCTACAAACTACAATATATTGCATAGAGAGTTGGTGACCAGAGATAATTAATTTTAAATGATTAGTAAAATGATCCCTTTTATGCAGGTGCACCTTACTAAGCAACCAGTCTACAGAAGCCTTTCTCATTAAAGATTTAAAGATAAGCTCATTTATTCAAACAAAGCACTGTCTAATGTGGCTGGCTGCTCGCTCTATGAGATGCTGAACAATAATACTGTGCCATAAAGATCAATATTACAGATGACAATTATTTTCCACAACATGGTAAAAATAGCATGACCACATTCAAAAGTATATCTGAACTGGTTCAAAACAGGAACAAGATAATTGAATTTAATTTTAAAATTTGTAAAAATACTCCAGGTTACACCAGCAAATAGTGTTGAGAGGTTAACTGGCTACTCTTATCCATTCAGATCAATGCAACTTTACACTAATGAAGAGAGAAGAAATTTCAAGGAACTATCCTAAGCATACTTAGATATCCAGGTTTAGGTAAGGATATAATTGAAGTCATGGGAGAGAGGGATTAAAATAATTGAACACTGTAGTACTCAGGTATAAACCATGTAGACCACTGAAGCAAAGTACTTTGTCTCATTGTAGTGCTACATACTAAAGAATATCCTAGCCAAGTAAGTTAACTGTACAAGATTATACCTCGAAATCAGTATTGATTCGAATGACATATTTAAAACAACAGTATACTATCACAAAGTTTTATTGGCCACATGACTGTGTTGAGACAGTGGCTGCAAAATGCAAAGGAGGACACAAGACAGACTGCAAAAGCCAGGATACAAAAGAGAGCATGTTATAGTGAAACATGATCCACCGAGGAAGTATTTAGATGTCATAGTGGATTTTTTCTGAAAAAGAACTAAGAGAAGCAAAATAACTCTAGATTTTACACAAGTGATATTGTTCAAACTGCAAATGCTGTTTGAAGAGCCATGCCGTTATATCAGCATAAAATACTAGTACTCAACTTCTTTGTGAGAAAAAAAATTAAAACTCCAGTGTAGTGAAATTTAATTAAAAAAAGAGAGCTACTGAATGATGAACAAGCAAATTAAAAGAAAATTATGGGGAGTATCCAAAAGTGTCATGGTATAAAAAATATTGAAATGCAACTTTGATACATAATATGACTCAAAAAGTTTGTGAAGGGAATGCAGAAAGAGCAAAACCCTTTGAAGAGTAAAAAGTATTACTTTGAGAAAGATATCATTAAAACCTGCAGATCTTGCCTATACAAGAAAAATAAAATCTATAAGCTTGTATAAGCAAACTTATTTATTTTGCAAGCTAACTTAAAAAGTACAGGGAAACAGGGCAGAGCAGAAACACAGGTCAGCGGGCCAAAAGAGACCGAAAGGCAAATTGAAAATGGTGTATTAACTAGCAAAAAAAGGGATGTAAACACACAACGAGCTTATCTGGATGTTGGAGAAACCACTAGCTGACCAAAATACAAAGTGAACACTCACTGTAGACAAGGCATCTGAGAAATAGTAACTGAACTATTTGTTTCAATGGTCAAGGATGTTCCCACACAGAATCATTACTGATGAACTATGAATTGAGTTGTCTTGAACTGAAATGTTCACAGAAGAGGTTTTAAAAATAGTCTGAGAGTAGTCAGAAAGGTAGGCAGCATGTTATTGCCTAGGAAAGAAATAGGAACCAAAACAGAGAACACTACTAACCATCTGATCACTCCAGGGAAGTGATCCAGGGAAGGTCTTTACACCTTCCAGCCTGCGCATTGGATTTTTTAGGTGAGACACAGTGTGCGCGGAACTGAGCCCACCCTTTAATCCTAAGGTTCATCTGCCGGGGCCAAGCGAGCTTGGACAGTGGCAGCGAGGTCCTCAGGACGTAGGTGGGTTGCCTTTAAGGGCTAACGAGCCCCACCTGCCCGGGAGTGGCCTTGACCAGGAATCGAACCCGGGTCTCGGCAGTGATAGCGCCGCGCCTTTTACCACTAGACCACCAGGGGCTCCGAGAGATGTAGAACATCTTCCATAAAAGAATGCTGCTTAAAAGACAATTGAGAAAATTGAAGTTTATAAAATGAAAGGTATGGGTATGGTGAACGGGAAGTATTAGATATTTCCAATAACACAAGAAGCTAAAGAATACCAGGTTTGAAAAAAGTGTACTTTTTTAAACAGGGCATAAAAAAATTCTAAAGTATAAGTGATTGAACAAATTCAGGAATAGTAACTGTTTTTATTTACATATAACCAAATCCCTAAACTTCTTAATGACCAAGGCTGGGAGGGTATGGACAGTATCAAATGTTTTCACTTTTGTCTAATAAATTGCTTTATTTAAAAAAAAAGTTTTATTCTGTAACTTTCTAAACAAAGCATTTAGATTCTTCTATATGGAATGTATTTTTTATCTTTTACTGTAATTAAATGAATTGGTGTTACAAATTTGGAAAGCTAAGGAGAAAAGATTACATTGCAGTTGCATTCAAACCTTGATCTGTAATCTTTTTTATTGCACACTAGCTGAAAAATCAATTTTTGAAAGCTATGAAAAGCATAATTTTAGAATATTCTTTTTTTTAATTGTTATGCAATAGGAAGTATGTATTTAGCTGGCCTTTCCCCATAGCAGTATTCCCTCCCATACTTCCATGGGTTATACAGACAAATGTTTATTGTTGGGTTTGCAGTACATACAGAATGATAATTTCATTGAGAAATCACAAAAAAAAAAAAAAAATTGCATTGGTTTCTTCCCACCCTTATCTCACCTGAAACATATCAAATCCTCCTCTTGGTAGTTTCCAAGAAAAATAGACTGTATTTTCTTCTTGTCCAAATACCTGTAAATCTAATGGTGGACCAGGATCTGAGGATGTAAAATTTAAATTTAAAATAATCTATATTATTTTAAGGAAATTGGCATTTACAGAATACACTGCTGTAATTCATTATTTTATAGTTCCATGTAGTAAGAGATTTCATTTTGCACTTAAGAAGACCTTCAAATAAATGAAAATTTGTTTTGACATATTAGCAATAGAATCAGAAATAAAATAAAAAATTACAAATTTTTATAGAAAAGTTTAACATCCTAATATTACTGTTGATTCATTTGCTGGCAGAATCCCATTAAATACAGATGAAAATTGTTTGTGTTTTAGAAGCTTTTATATGCTTAAGAGTTTTCAGAGATGTTTAGATTGAAAAGAAAGACTTAACATGCATTAATCCAGACATTATTAAGATGCATTGATTTAATAAGGAATAGCTTTTCTTAGACAATACCTTAAAAAGTAACAAGCTTAGTTATTTGAAACTGTGAAAAGTCATTAATAAACCGAACCTACAGGTGTTAATCTTGAGGATGGTAGGGTGACTTCTTTTTAATCCATTGGTTGTCACAATATTGATTAAGAAATCAGTGCCTGGTAGAAGATGCTCAAATTTGTACATTCTACAAAGATTAAAAGAAGACATTGCATTGTTTAGGATTCTAAAAATGCACGTCTCTTCATATGTTTATTCTTTAGTTTTATGGATATTATTTACACATGATGTGTATATACGTTTATATGTTGTCATTCAAAAATATTTTAGTATTATGAAATCTTAAATAGGCTGCATTGCACTATGGTTCACAGCAAGTTCAAGCACTAAAAAGTTCTGAAGTATTAAATTAAACATCCAGAATGGCACACAGGTTCTACTAGTGCTCAACCCAATGTAGTATTTTGTTTGCTCTTCTTTGCACAAGCACATTATATGAGACCTGCAATTTGTCAAAAAAGCAGTTCTTAAAGTACATGATATAGAACTATATGTCAACTGAATCATCAAATATATATAATATATAAATAACAGTACAGGCTACTTATTTTAAGTATATAATGAAACAGCTGCTTTGAGTTATGTCAGTTATTTTTTAAACGTAATCATCATACCTTACACCAGAAGGTAACATTTTCTTCTCACTGAAGTCCTTACTATTAATTGAAAGAACATATCCATCAAATATATTTGGGGCTGGTGGCCAGGTGACAGTTATTGACTCAGAGTCTCTGCTATAGTTCAGGTATTTAACTGCACTTGGTACTGTGTGAAAATACAACAAAATGCATTGATTCAAAAAACCATTTTAAACACATTTCTTTATGACAGGCCTCTCATCATCAGAATGCAATGAAAACTCCACATATCCCTCCTTATCTCAAGGACATACAGACTACTACAAGAACAGAAATGTCAGTATAAGTGGTAGCATACCTGACAGAGACCAAAGTCATGACTAGCACAGTATCTCTTACTCAACAGTGACCAAAAGCATACGTCTCTAGAAAAGCAAGAATTGCATAGAGTAATAATCCCCTTCTTAATCTCCTAAACTGCATTTTGCAGCCCAAGAACTTCGTGAGCCAAAGGTGATTTTTTTTTAGTTTAGTAAACCTCAGCAGATTTTTCCTTTATGCATGTCTTTGGTCTCCACTTGAACACATGATCACAATCATCACACAAAACATCTTGTGTCCAGAAGTTCTGCAATTTATCTACAAATTTAGTAAACAAACATTTACATTTGCTTGTTTTCTACTTTTTCTCTTCTAGTTTCAAGTCCTTAGTTCTTGAAAAGGAAATGTCAGAGAATTTCACTTATTTGCTACATAATTGCCTCTCCATGATTTGTCCTCTCAGAAATGATTTTGCATCACATTTTACATTCCTGTATCCATTCTACCTCAGCGGTACCTTAAATGCAACACAGTACGTATCTTCAATCACATATGCTGAACCTTTTCAGTCGCATCTACTATGCTTTATTTTTCCACATTAGCTTAGAGGAAAACATAACATGCCAGATCTAATAGCCTGAGAGACCATATTCTTGGGTTCAAGCAGCTAGAAGTATTAGAATAGAGAGGAGAACTACACTGTTGAGAATCAAATGTCCTAAATGTAGAAAAGCCCAATTTTACTTGTGATGTACAGGGAGGCCAGTGAGAAAACATCATAAAACTAATTTAGCTCTGAACATTTAAGTGTGGCCAAACTCAGCACTGAAGTGAAAACAAAGCATTAAAGAGAAGTCTAAGAAAAAAATTTGTTGTATATAGTGCTGGTAGCCAGACTGTGTGCAAGTATCAGCTACTGGACTGTACAGCTGGTTGAGTCAACGTGAAGTCAACATTGGTAGTTCATCATACAAAGGAACTATATTCAGATTCTTAAGGGTCACTTGCTGTCAAAGAATAAGAAAAATAACAATGTAAGTGAATAAGAAGAAAATTACAAAGACAGTCAAGTTGCTTTTCTCTGAGACAAAAAGGAAATACAGGAAGAAAGCAAGACAGGAGGAAAACACTGAATTTCACAACATTGTGGTCTCACCTGTGTCTATTTCCTTTGTCACAAAAAGGCTGTCTCTGAAACCTTCCTTCTCTGTTCGAATTGCAAAACTGTACAGCTTACCAGGACTAAGGTTGGAAAACACTGCTGTTTCTTTCTTAACCTTCTGGACCTAGAAATAGAAATACAGCTTTCAAAAATTTCAAAAATTTTCTTATCTTATGTAAATGGTACATCCAACTACTTTAAGGGGGGATATAGCTTCTTCTTAGTAGAAGACTGACAAATAACTGCATTGCTTATACACAAGTGGTGTTCTAAAAAATATACCCTGAAAGCACTTGCACAATTTGTACATGTAACTTCATATTGCTCAAAATCTCCATCAGCCCGATCCCAAGTGATCTGTATTGAAGTGTCAGTAACATCACCTTCTCGTACATTGAGCGGAGCTGCCAGACCTACAGGAGAACACAAAACACATTACAGTTCAATCCAAGACTTTGTTCAATCTAACACTTTTTTTATCTCCTGTGGAGACATAAAAGTGAAGATAACCAGTAAGAGATTCAAACAAATAAGAGGGCAAAATCTGATCTCAGGCATGCAGAGACACAGCAGTTCCAAAACTGAGAAAGGAAAAATGGAGAAAGGAAAAAGGTATAGGAAAATTACTTGCTTCTTTATCTTAAAATTACATGAGGCTGAACATGCATTTTTCCAAGGATAGAGCTGGCATTCCAACGTGGAAAAGTGCACCAGAATTAAGTTGATCCCTCCAATACCACTACCATAATGGCCATAATGTACTTAAATTTTGTCAAACAGCTGAGCAAAACTGGGTATATCAGGCTAGATAAATACACTTTACTCCAAATTAGTATAGTCTTGTTAGGTACGACTCAGCTCACATTACAGAGGAGTATCCATTCTTCTTTACATCTATTTCATCCCTATCACTGCTGTTTGTGTCTGGAATATACCAAAATTTACCCTTTTTCCAAGAAAAATTGTGTACATGTGAGGGTTAGGACATTTCTTTCTTCCAAGTTTTTAGGGCCCCAGAAGAGACAGACAAAAACTGGGTTTTCTAAGGCAGTTTGCCACTGAATTTAGAAAATGTTTCCATAAGGTTGATCAAACATGAAGTTTTTACTGTGAAAATCCTTGAAAGCTGATTTTTCTTAAAAATATGATATTTTGAAGAAAAATCAGCTTTCTAGTCTTTCACAATCTGGGAAAGATTTTTTTTCTGTCTTGCCCTCATTCTCCTCATATTTCTTCCTTAATTCTTTCTATCTTTTCTTAATTTTTCCTTGCATAAGATTTCTACTGTGAAAGAAACAGAGCAGAAAAGAATTTCAAAAGGAAATGATAAAATGGGAAAAGAAAAACTTATGGAAGTATAAAGATAATAAAAAATAGGAATGTTAAACCAGAATTTCAGCAGGTATTTTTCAACAGTTATTAAGTTCCTACTAAAATTTAATTTTTAAAACCCTTGCTAGAATTTTTTAATGTCTTTGTTATTCAATTTATTATCTTGGAGAACCTCAAAGTTTTTATTATTTGCTGAAAGATACACCAGGAGGAATGAGCTTCATAATTTCAAGACACAGAAACAACTCCATTGATACTCATCTACTTGTTTAAAGTAAGCAGTCAAAATATGTTTTGTTTCCCATAAGGACAACAATTTAATACAGCCTCAATTCCTGAAATAATGGCCAGTCTTCACGAGTGAAAATCCGGGGAAGGTCTTTCCACCTTCCAGCCTGCGCATTGGATTTTTTAGGTGAGACACAGTGTGCGCGGAACTGAGCCCACCCTTTAATCCTAAGGTTCATCTGCCGGGGCCAAGCGAGCTTGGACGGTGGCAGCGAGGTCCTTAGGACGTAGGTGGGTTGCCTTTAAGGGCTAATGAGCCCCACCTGCCCGGGAGTGGCCCTGACCGGGAATCGAACCCGGGCCTCGGCGGTGATACTTGCTAGGCATTTTATAGACAATATAAAAAACATAATTTAGCAAGTTTAGAAATTATAAGATATCATTATAGTCTTGTTTAAAAATCAGCTAGTGTTAGTACAACTACAAATTGCTTACAGATATATCAAGATGATTTTTGAATAGCATGTCATTTCTGTTGCATTGAAATAAAAATAAAGTCAAAAAGTTCAAAAATCGGGGTTTTATATGGTGCAATTTTATAAGAACTTAAAATACTTACATGTTTTTACACCATATACATGGTAACAGGAGCTCAACATTTTTCCACTTTTTGTGGAGACACAGAAATCATATTCTGTTCCTGCAGTAAGGTTTTCAATTGTTATTTTAGCATCACTTTTTAAAGTGAATGTTGCATTAGGTCCTTCTTTACTTGTAACATAAACGCCATCAAATACTCCAATATCAGGCATGCGAACAAACAGTACCACTGCATTGCTATAAAGCCCATAAGGAACTACAATTTGAACAGGCTTGGGCTCTAAAAGAAGAAAAAAAAAAAAGAAAAAAAATTGCCACATGTTAAATCAGTTGAAAATAAATTAAATGAAAACCACATGATGAATCTAAAGCAACTGCCCTGAGAAATATGCTTGCCTAGTGCAAACTAATAGCTATCACAGTAAAACATCATTGCTCAGAAACAAAGAACAACCTGATCTTTTAAGTGTTTATTACTGGAATTACCTTATCAACCACAACTGCACTAGGAAGGTAAGCAGAATAGCTGGAAAAATTTAAGAAATGTAAACGTGGACAGGGAGAAAACCATGGAAAACGAGATACGTTTGATGGATACAACACTGACGTGTTCAGTTTTCTTCCCTTACAGTTGGCTCTGACAGCTGTGAAATATCCCATCTAGAATTTTGTCATCTGTTTCAGGAATGAGGTATTAAGCCTAATCCTATATAAAAAATTCTGAAAAAAAAGACTAAGACTTCTACCCTCCAAAATACTGTAATCATTTAGAAAAAAAAAAAAAATAATGCAGCATTTTATGTATCTATAACCTGATAGCTGCAGCCTTTAAATACCACTTGCATAAGTGAACCTTGCCCATTCCTTTCACATATGCAAAAAATTTAAACTGAACCAAAAGCATTTCAGCATTTTGGTAAACTAAGACCCTTCAATAAACCCTTCCCTATGGATGGGGAAGATCCTTTGATAAACAATGTAAAGCTATTACTTTTCACCTACTACCACTTCTAACTCTTTCTACTCCTTTCCTAGTACTCTCTCACTAATGGTAGGGTAATTTCTTTCTCACAGTTCACAGAACAACTAAAGTATCTACAAAAATAAATCAGTTGTTTCAACCATTACAGTATTTCCCCATTTCAACGTAAACCCATGATTCACCCAGTTTCTTCTGCCAATTGGAACAAGATTTCCAGCTGTGGTCCTCATTGCAGTTGTCACTACTATCAGTGTGTTTTCCAAGGCTGTACCTTCATTTCAAAAATTGTTAACTTTGCTGTTAACAACTAGGATTGGATCTGTACCTTTTATATTTTAGTTTTGATCCCTGGTTATTTAGCAAATTGACTTTATCTAAAAAATCTGTTAGAAGTATCAACAATAGTTAGACCAATACATGTATTATAGTCTGCAGTTTCCACCATAAACAGTATCTTACTTAAAGTGCATTGAATGGTCTTCAGTTCACTCTTAGTTCC